GGTGCTTTCTTTTCTTTACTCACTTGCATTTGGCATATATATTGAAAACAGCAGTTGCGTTATTGCGAGTGAGCTCCTTCCGGTTTTGGGACATTTTTGCACCAACTGTTTTTGTACTTTTGGTTTCTCACTCACCCAACGTTGGGTGCCATTTGCTTGGCGATTCGGTGGACTTCAGTTGTGCTTCACGCTCGCAGCAATCGTTTCTTACCGGTTTGGCGTGAATCGAGGCAAAACAGAAGTAGAAAAAAGGAGGGACTTTTAAGAATGAAGAGCGTGCTTAACTCAGCATTGATATCGGTCTACAGAAAGATTAATCTTCATAGATCCGGGCAAAAAACTTCAAAAACCTTTTAGGAAAAACGGCAAAGAGTAAGATTTGTTTGATCGGATGTACTAGCTTTTTGATCCGTCTAATAATTTTAATTACGGAAGAATCATCGTCATTCAATATTTGTGTGATAAGATGTTCAAAGAGATATCAGTCCAGATTATGACTTTTCAATTGCCTTCGATTTTGTTTTACAGGGTGCGCTGTTAATTTCCTTGTCAATACTCAGTTTTAATATTATCAATTATAACTGACCGCAAAATTACAACTTTGATCAATAATTTCTGAAAAGGCTTAGATGAGACACGTGTTTTAATATGTCAGTACATGTATCTGAGTTCGATTAAAACTGCCTATGGTTTTAATTAAATCAATACAAGATTCACGAATGCCATTGAAGCGCCAGCTACTGTAGTAAAAAATTCATTTTAACAGGCTAAAGATCGGCTGTGACATCCAGTAGACGGCTGATTTACAGCAATTTTTTTTAAATCTGAAAAAAAAAAGGGGAAAGAAAAATCTGAACTGAATCATTTATGAATTGGCTAGGCGACGTATGTAGCTGTTGTTCTAACATGTTCTAAGCTAAACTGTACTTAAGCAGTGTTAAGGAATTCGCATAAACAGATAAAGGAAGTGCAGAAACACTGTGATAGACAGAAATACTGTTGAATCCGATCAGTATACGTATAATGATATACTTTCAGCCAGACTAATCCAAAACTACAGGATTAGGGTAAAAACACTAAAGAGTCTCACTCGCCGTTCGATAAATCCATAATCATTTGTCCTTTGCCGTCTTGAAAAGCCAAACAGTATGTAAATTAAAGAAAGATAATATGAAAACTGATAGGTTCTTTTTGGCTGAGTGGTATCGTTCAAAAAGGGGAACGGCTGCCCGGTCGCATGCGAGCAAGGTCGAGCAAGCTCTCCAATCATGGCCGGGCGAAGCGTCTCCTTTCCAATGTGGCTCTCGCGTGACTTCTCGCAACTTAGCTGCCCGGCCAACCCGTTCGCACGCGATGCATATCAGCCGATCCTTTCCCCTTTCCTGGTTTGGAACGCCAGACGGTACCAGACAAGGCCACGTTTTTCGTTTATTCTTGCAGCAATAGCCATGCAATCACGCCAGATGGATGAAAACAAAAACACATTTCGAGCTTTTCATATGTTTGTACAGGACGAAGATCATCCTCAGTTTAATGAAGCTCAGGCACTTACATGGACATTTACAACGCCGCGCTTACTATTTTCTCAAGTCCAGCACTTGGTTTAGCGGGTTCCGTAAATTTTGTCGGCAACTCGGACCAACGGCTGTGGAGTGGTACAATGGATTGCACTGCACGAGGAAGACCGCAGAAAGGGACCGTTCACGAGTGACAAAAGTAGTATATCAAACCTTTTGAAAGAAGAACATGATCTGTCGTTTCCCGACGTTTCCCTGGCTTGTTTCCCTGGTCAGTTCGGCGGGCGGCCGAATACTTGGGTCAAAGAGGAAAAATTGCGTAAATTAGAATTCTGAAATAGAAGAAACCAGCTACTTTATCCCGGCTTTGGCTGCAGTTGTGTATCAAAAACTTGTCTTCATAAGACTGATAAGAAGTTCAGCAGAGGTTCCTTTGCGACTGCCGGAGAAGAAAAGAATATTTTTGATGATGCTGAAGTTTCTTGGTTGGATTTTTTTCAAAATAAAACGATGAAACACAACTTTTTTGTGTAGATGCATAGAACATTGCTGTGACCTGCGTAAATTTGGAGTCGTGTACCTTTGTATATAGTTTTAGATTTTAGGTAAGATCATTAGAGCGGTTTTCACTTGACTGTCGTAAAACCAAAAGCAAAGTAAATACACTAGCCAACCAAAGGGCGTAGTAAAACCAAAACCAAACCAATTCCTCAATTACTTTCGACAGTCAAGTGAAAACCGCTCTAATTTAAAAATCATGTAATAGATTAGTTTGCCAGTAAGTAGGAATGTATCCCCAATTAGCTAACTGTTAAGCTTGGAATTGACACTAAAATAAAGTCTTTTATTATTATTATTGTTATGATAAAAAAATTCCTTTTCGCTATTCTGATTCTGAGACTTTAAAGTGCTTCAAACGACTAGACACTTTCTTTACACTCACCAATAGTTTATTAACACAAAAAGAGTGAGTCATTATTTAATAAGGTATAACATAAAAAGAGAACGTGTGCCCTAAGTGAGTCCTAAGTTACACAAAGGCAGAAACGTATGAGAGTGTAAGTCATCCCATGCAACATGGCCTTCATAAGTGTCCTACGTAAAAGCTGTTTTGTAAGGGCCATCCGCAACCGGGTCCAGTAAAGTGCATTGTCACAGAAGGGAACAGGCAGCCCATATTTGCTCATGGATTCTATGTGCTGCTATGTGAGCCTTTTAAAATCAATTTAAAAGGGGGTCTACAATGCAATGGACTTATCACTTGCTTCATTTGTAGGTAGATATTGCGCTGATTTTTAAGTACTGTATACACGGCATTCATGAAAAGCAGGTTCTAGTTAGGTTAGTTGTAGATAGTTTTGCATATCGTTTAGAGAGAAAATTTTTTATACTCCTGATGAATTTTACCGTGTTTAAATAAAGAATTGTTCTATTCTATTCTATTCTATTCTATTCTATTCTATTCTATTCTATTCTATTCTATTCTATTCTATTCTATTCTATTCTATTCTATTCTATTCTATTCTATTCTATTCTATTCTATTCTATTCTATTCTAGTCTAGTCTATCCTTTACCAAGAACCAACTACCTAAAAAGGAGCCTTAGCTATAGAGGTGCAACTCTCTGGAAGTCTGCCCCGCAATCTTAGGCAAGAGAAATCTCTAAATCGTTTTAAGCAATTGTTAAACTTTCATTTTAGTTAGATACACGGCATTCATGGAAAATAGGTATAGTTTAATGTAATTTTGAGTAGTATTTTTAAGAGACTCTTTAGATATGTATTTATCATTATTAAATATTGTTATGTAGTTATACTTTATATGTAACAAAAAACCTGATGAATTTTTACCGTGTTAAAATAAAGATTTGAGATTGAGATTTGAGATTTAATATGTACATGGATTCATGCTACATAAACGTTATAATACTCCTTACAAGCGGTATATGGTCGTCCTCAGTTTTGCCTCACAAGCGGAATTTTGAGCGATTCAGTCAAGGATCTTGAGCGCGCGGTTACAATTCAACAATTCTTGAATTGTGCCTCACTGATCGGCCTCTTTGAGGCTGAGCTGTGTATATTGCGCTCGCAGGAAACATACCAACTGACATAGGCGTACGGGCTATTTTTTGCCAGGGGGGGCGGTAAACCATTTACAAAACAGTCGAACAGAAACGAGGGCCGATGCAACAAGATAGGCCGTACTGGCATATGAAAATGGCTCCATACAGTTTTTCAGGGTCAATACCTGCCAAGTTTGAGCATAAACTACGTCGCCACAAACAAACATTTGGAAAAGTTGCCACCACAGGTGTATTAGATAAAGATGAAAATTTGTTGTGATCAGGTTTGGAATGACATCGGAGTTGTTGTAGCAACGAAATGAAGCCATTACCTATTATACTTGCAGCAATATTTCTCCCTGGGAACTGTTCTTCTAAAATCGATCACAGGAGCTTTTTCCTCCAAAGGTCGCCTCGATGTTTGTGACGTTAAAACGGAATCTGTAAGAGCGTTATCGAGATGATTTTGGGATAAAGTTTTTATCGTTGGAAATACGGTAAAAAAGGAAAATCTTGATGTTTGGCCGTTATCTGTAGAAAACGATGCACTTTTGACATGCAATTTCACCTCGTAGTAGTTTCAATCTTTTCAAAAACGTGGGTGATAGATCATGGAGATAGCTCCGGCCAATTGCTACAAAGAAGGATTTGATTAGGATGTATCATGGCGCTCTTGTTAGCGGTTTTGTAAACATTTCAGTCTACTTTAACAAATTATTGAATAATTTTTAAACCGCTCGATAGACTTTTTTAAAAAAAATCAAGATTCTTCTCGCAACTCAACTGAGAATTAGTCAGCCACTTCTTCACTTTAAGACCCATTGCTGATGCTATCTGCCATACACTGTTCTACGAGCGGAGATGATTCTAGAAAGTTAGGCGGAAGTTTATTCTAATAAATTCACGAGTGGAAATAGCTCATTGCAGTACAGTGCCCAACAATAAAAAAAAAATCAGCATATGATCCTTTCCCTTACAACCAGAAACTCGTCACGTGCTAGGCAGACACTGTCTCGTGTCAATGTAACTGGATTATTACGCCGACGTGAGGTTAAAATAGAAAATATTTATCTCTTCTGGCTTTGCCCAAATTTTCTCGTGCTGCCCAAAAAATCTTAGTTGCCCAAAATTTGGGGGGGGCTGCAGCCCCCCTCGCCCCCCCGGCCCGTACGCCTATGTCAACTGAGCAGTTTATTGCTGCAGTACAAAGGACTCAATTTTGGGACATGTCGATGTAAGTCAAGAGCTCTCGATATTCCATGCTTCAGTTGTTCACTTCCAATCTGTCTTTAATTTTCGCATCACTCTTTCCCAAGCTGATGAATCCTCGTCCGTTTCTTTGGAGAGGGACTATGAACCAGTATTTATACATCAATTCCAGGTCCCTTGAGACAGCGAAAGTTTCTGGCGGTCACGGAAGCATGTCTGTAAAAGTATTTCTGGCGATTTGCTGCTCTTTCTTCTGTAGTGTTGCAGTAAGTGTTAGGGCAGATCTCCCAGAATATTGCGGACCGCAAAACTATGCCTACACTCCGCTAAGAAAAGATCCACGAGGAGAATTTACCCTGAAGCAAGTCCACGTCGTTATAAGGTTTGTAGCTAGCGACGTGCAAAACAACATGTGTTATGTTAATTTTTATTCCTCTTAGCTTTTAACTATGTTTAAGACAAATAATATGAGGACAGTTAATGGTAAATCTTAGGTACGTTCTGTTTGGGGAGAATTTCCGTATATTTCTTTATGATAATTACCATAAAATTTTGTACAGTCGTCACGCAATTTGCAACTAAAATCTTTGCTTTAATATTCGGATCGAAAGCAAATGCACTTTTATGTCATATGTAAGTATCATACTGTATCCATCTATGCATAAATCTCCAGTTATTATTATTATATCTTGCCAAAGTCACTGCTAAATTTCGTTAATGGAACTTGCAACAGGTAATTTGAGCTCAGGCTAAAATAAGAGCTTAAAAGATACATGATCCGGAAGAACCGCTTAAAATTTAAAAAAGTCGTCATGGTTTCTGAGAAATTTTAAAATCATTTAAGCTCTTATGTCTTGTTTGGCCTATTGGTTTTCTTTTTCGAGCTTTTTCTACGTCAAGTGTTTAAACTTTTGAGAAAGGGGTGTGGTGATTTAGACTGACCCTTACAGATGTACCTATCATGTGACTCATTGAAGTAAATTGAAAGTGTGCCATAATGTATTTTTATTTACTTAAAAGGCAATTTTTCTTTTTTAAAATCTCTTGTCAGTTTTTAATTTGAATGCTGTGGGTTAACTAGATAGTCAACCAGTAAACAGGGAAAAGTGTGAAAACAAAAATCCAAGTTTTACTTTCCAGACAGAACGCAGCCACATCCTTGGGGTTTGACCACAGGCACACTTCATATGCAGAGATTGCATTATGTAGAAATAACAGGCTGACTGAAAATTTAACAGTTGAGAATCATTGTCTTTATCTTGATTCTTGCAAATAGCTGTATTATTGTTTTTTATTCATTTATTATTTATTTTTATTTGTGTGCTTTTTTTGCTAGTTATCCAAGGGTGGAATGTTTTCATGACCATTTGCTGACCCTAAGTTTGCATTGAGCGTGATTTAAACATAGGAGGGTGTGGATGGGGAGTTCCAGACAGAAATGATTGGTTTGAAGCAGTTTCAGTGATTTATTCAAGTGAATATTTAGAATTACAGTTACCAGAAATGGTCAACTTAATCTGCATAAACTGTTGGCCAGAGCTGTAGTTGATCTGGGCAAGTGATACCCCTATTTAGTGGCGAGCACCATGTGGGACCCCCAGAGGAAAAAGGACTTCTTGATGAGGAGACTAAGCCCCTGTTTGCACTACACAAAATTTTGTTTGTTTTGCAAAAAAAAAATAAAAAACCCCTCAACAGGAGACCATTTCTAGTGCAAATGATCTTTTTCACCTAAAAAATTTCTCAACTGTTACCAAACTTCAAAGGCCTAGAATTTTTTGTCAGGTGACAAAATACTATGTTCCGTGACAGCTCCTTTGCTGGGTCATCTTATTTCGCTAACATAACCAATTAACCCTTTAAGTCCCAATAGTGACCAACATCAATTTTCTCCTTAATGATATCCATACAATGTCAAGAGGTTAGGTTATGAGAATTAATTAAATGATCACCAAAGAGAAAATGCTTTGATCTTTTCTCAAATTCTCTTAACTAATTCTGTAAGGAAATGTATGGAGATCAGTTTGGAGAATTTGTATGTGGATATTGTGGCTTAAAGGGTTAAAGTTCCTATTAATTTAATTGACGTTTCTGGCTATATGAAAAATTTAACGTGCTCACGATGCAAACAAGGTTGAAAAAACAAAACTTGGTAGTAATATTACAGACTGTCAAGCCTTCAGGTACTGACATCTCTCAAATATGGACTCTTTCTAATATGGACAATGGACACTAAATCTCGGCCCCAAAGGGTAAATTCATGTAAACTGTACTTATCCTCTTTATTATGGACACTGCGGTGATCAGGTGAGTTCCGAATCTCGATCAGGTGAATCTGCACAGGGTGAATCCTGTCTGGCTGATGAGGTATGCAAGGTGATTTCAAAAGCCCAGTCACTGTTTATCAAGCAATGATTTGCGAAAGGTGTACAGAGGAACATAACCAACTTTTTTAATTAGGCTGGAATAACTACAGATAGCATAAAGATCTTTTCTGTTACACCTTGTACTCTAGTTACTGTTTACTGCATTTGCAAAATAGTGAAATACGCTTTCAGAATTGTGCTTTAATATGTTACAACTTTTTACATGCAGCATTGCGCTGTGAAAGTCCAGTAACCTGAACATGGTTTGTGATTTAGAACTGCATCAACCCATGACTTGTTTTGGCACAATTCAGTAAAGTTACGATTATTAGCATAATAATTTGATGGGTTTATAGAAAACTTTTGTTAGAGCCAATCAATAAATGAACCTTCCTTTGTCAGTAAGGCAAGCTGAGAACATTAATGACTCTTTTTAGTTATATAGTCAAGACTTTCTATCTTCCATGACATTCTTTTAAGATTTTAAGTACAATTTTTACAGGGTATATTTTTTACAGCGTATTATAGATATTTTTTTATACTAAAGATTAGCCAACAGTTTTTTGTAATTGCTGGCAATATAAGTAATAAAATAATATTGTTGTTGTTTATTAATCAGCATATTTTTACCCATAGACATGGTGATAGGACAAGAGCTGGGGCCAGTCCTTGTTGGGATAATGACACTGCTGAATGGGATTGTCTACTATCTTCAGCTTCCATTCCTACTATCAAACATGATACTCATGATATAGAAGTTGCACGTGTTTATAGAGATGGTAAAGCACTACATACATGTAGTTGTAGACTAGTAGTTTGTCACTATGGTGAAGGGGGGCCGGCTTTTTTGAAAAATATTGATTGGCTTTTTGCTTTAAGCTAGTTTAGAACTTCGTATCCGTTTTAACTGAGGTAAATGCACTGTCTTTTAAATAGGAATTAAATCACAAAACCAGGACATTTTATTGACTTTTCCACACCCATAAAATGCATTGGTTTGCCTTTTTGCATACTGAAATGACAGATTTCTCTAACCCTTTCATATACTTTGACTAGTGAAATATCCTATCCCTTTCATATACCTTAAGCCTGAAAAAGGTTAACCCCTTTTAGGTGGACCCTCCCTGTGTAATGTGTATAAGCCATTGTACCCCCCCCCCACCCCTGGGGAGGGGGTGAAATGGATTTGTCGGTGATAATAATAGGCTAAGGAGGGGAGTGCATGGGTAAACGAATATTTTAAAGATCAAAGTTACAAGTATCAAGATGGAGACTTTTTTATACAAGCATACATGCCACACCAAGGCCCAGTCACTTGACAAGCACCCCTTCCAGTTTTATCAGAGGGGTCAACAATTCACCCCTGGATCGAATTTGGGTGGTTTTTAACTATACGTTTCTCTTATGCAAATTGCAGCTTACATGGCAGGTCGTAATATCATACATGGGGATTGTGGCTTAGGTCATCTTACGTTCAAGGGCTATAAGCAGGAGGAAATGAATGGAGAGAATTTGCGTAAAGCATATGTTGACACTGGATTCCTTTCCTCAAACTATAGCGTACATGAAGACTTCTTTAGGACTGATGGTGAGTTAGTGTTTTGGTGTAATACACTGTAAAGTGAGTTGATAAGAAAAACTGATGGTAGCTTCTACCAGTCATATTAAACTACTATAGTAAATACATTATTGTGAGAGGGTGTTTTCCCTTAAACTCACTCAAAAAGGGCCTCCTTCGACCCAATTTCAAGAATGGTTCACTCGATAAAGAGGACCTTGCAAATTTTAGACCAATAACTAATCTTGCATTTGTGTCTTAACTCCTCTAATGAGTTGCTACTTCCCAAACTAAGCACTAAGTCATGGAGAACTGGCGTCTTTCAAAACTACAAGCTGCATACCAACCATTTCACAGCACAGAGACCACCCTGTTAAGGGTTCGCAATGACATTCTACACTCCATTGACAATGGTCAGGAAGTCATCTTGGTCCTTTTGGACCTATCAGCCATATTTGATACCATTTATCACATTTGATATCATTGATGTTGATTGACAGACTCAATACACAGTTTGGCATCACGGGTACAGTTTTCAAGAGGTTCAAGTCTTACATAATTTCTAAGGTGATCCCAAATTGTTGTTATCAGATCTACAGCCTAAGCTAAGAGGTTTAAGCCCTTATTCCTCAGAGCTCAGATTTAGAGCCTAGTACAGTACAGCTGCCAATATGAAATGACAGCAGGGAATTTTATTCTATGCACTCCCTTGAGGCCTTAATACAGGGTGGCAAAGTGGGGTGGGGGTACATGTACCTATCACACATCACACTGAATTTTTTTTTATGGCCATCACGCATCAAGGGGAAAAATTAGTCGTAATGCATCACTCAAATGAGGTGCAATTGCCATAAGTTTGTTAACCGCAATGTCTTAACCCATTGAATATGATCATGCAGCCAAATTTTAATCAGCATCCTTTTTGGGTAAGATTTGGAAAGACTACTTAAGAAGAATCGATATATATTGAAAACGACTGGAACCGATACATTTTTCACCCCAAAACTTACTTGTATCGTCAAAATTCAGTCATGGTGTACTTCTTTTGTTTTCTTTTGAAGTTCGTTAACAGTTAATTGAATGAGCATAATGGTACAAACAAGAAAAAGGACCAGAAAATGTCATGACGGACTATCTGTTTTTGATGTCTTTGCTTCTAGTTTCAAATGATATAATTTCACCAATCAAGGAATCCAAAAAGGAAAATCACGCATCATGTGTTATGGAAACAGTAAATCATGCACCACCCTGTTCTGTGCCCAATTACACCTCAAGGGGCTAAGTTTGGATGGTTCACGCATCATGCTCGTAATTTAGGACTCATTACGCATGACGAAACCCCTGTGCCACCCTGTTTTACACTCTGTGAAGATGTTACAAGGTTGGTACAGGTCATGGAAAACATGGAAAGTCATGGAATTTAAGAATTTCATTTTCAAGGCCTGGAAAGTCATGAAATTTAATTTTCTGTCCTTGAAGGCCATGGAAAATTGAAGTTTTGTTTGGTAGATTAGTTGCTACAGACATTAATCAACGATAATGTAAGGCAAAGAGGAGTAATAAATTCAACAGCACAAACGACATGCAGTTTGGTGGATACCAGAGTGTTTCTGTTTAACTGTTTAAGGTCAAAAAATATACTAAAACAAGTAAAGTTTTGAAAATTTTCGGAAGTGACAGCTAAACCTGAGGTCATGGAAAACTAGAAAAGGTCATGGAAAAAGTCATGGCAAAAGTCATGGAATTTTAAGAACTCAAAAGAGTACAAACCCTGTGATATTTCCCGGCTGTCTGCGGCAATATAATGACTACATGATGAATATAACTAGCTTTTAACTAATTTCTTGTTTGCAACTTGCAGATATGTCAAGAACGAGACAGGTAAGGTTAAACTAATGACTTCCAGTTACGTGATTAATAAAATTATTTGATAACAATCGAACCTCCATGTGCGACCACCCCTCCTAGGTGACAGCCTCCAATAAGCGACCACAGGCCCAAAACAGCAAAATTTTCTTGGTCAAAACCCTGTAGTTTGAACCTCTTGTAAGTGACCGCAACCTGACTTTTTGGGGTACCTGTGTTTTATAATAATTTTTTCAATTATTGTTAATCTCTTGTGAGCGATTACAGCTTTACAGATGATCTGATCTTTTAGTGACAACATGGAACTACGCCTAGGTAACACAGAAATAAATTGCATGCAATGAATTTTTTTCCAAAGAGTAGACATGTGGGGACCTCTTCTTGGAAGAGACCGCATGTGGTTTGATTCATGTAAGTGACCACTAAATCTTTGCATTGTTGGTGATTGCTTACAGGAGGTTCGACTGTATTAATTTATTTGAATTTAACAATTGATGGCCATTATATTCTGAAGATAAATATGATTGCAAGGTGCTTGTTTGTTTCCAGTCTGTTTGATACTGATATAACACAGTTATTTGTCCTTAAGGTTAGTTGAGAGGCATAGCACTTGCATGAGGGTGTATGGAAAAGCCAGAATCCGGAATCCGGAATCCGGAATCCGGAATCCGGAACCGGAAACGGAAACGGAGCCGGAACCGGAACCGGAACCGGAGCCCGAACCTAAGAAATAAAACTTGGAGACGTTTCTGTCTTAAGAGTGTCACTAACAATTATTGCTCGATCAAGACTTTTCATCCCCACATTATATTTATTTATTGTTTGAATATTTTTTACTGTCGCATTTTTTGCGTACGGCGCCAAATTTTTCTTCGCGAATTTCATATACGCGTGAGGGTTGCAACCTGGGATCATGATTGACATGAGTACTCCTCCCTTTGCCGCCTTTTCCTCACAATGGATGAAACACGGAGCCCTTTTAAGAAATGAGTAACTTTGGCTCAAGAGAAGGAAATGAATAACACAGAGGTCTTAAACATCACATACTAATAATGGCTGTTTTTCGCAGTCAATCGGCTTCTGATTAGTTGTAGTCTCGATCTGTCAAAAATTGCTCGACCTACAGCTGCAGTCACAGTTTATGCCTGCTAGGAATAACAGTAGGATGCACTTACCTTTTTTTTCGCAAGTCACTTTCCGAATGTGAGTATACCTTTGGTATCACGATCACTGTGCTGAAAATTTCTCAAAACAATGATAACAGAGGACGCCATCTTGAATTTTATTCCCACACGGGTATCGGGAACTGGTTTTAGTGCTTCCCAGTTTACCCTGGTCTCAATTTAAGTTCCGGTTCCGGTTCCGTGTCTGTTTCCGGTTCCGGATTCCGTCCGGATTCCAGCTTTTCCATACGTCCCTTGCATGAGCAGAGATGCTGCAAGGTTTGAGAAGTGGCTATTTTCATCTCTTGCACATTTTGCTCAATGATCTTATAATGAGAGAATCTTTTTTTTCTCTTCCGGTTGGCGCATTAAGATAAATGGGTGTCATCACTTTGAGTATTGCTGTGCTGTTAAAAGAATCCTATCAGGTGTATTCCATTCAAATCAGAAGATCTTAAGCAATATACAGTCCAACCTCCACTAATAGCCACCTGGCTACCCCTCCACAACAGTCACAGATCTACAAACAGCCACTTTTTGGGTCAAGTTAGGGAAACTGACCACTTGCCCCTCCCTAAGCCAACACTAATGCTCACTTCTCACTCAGGGCAAAGTGTTGGCTAAGGGGAGGGGTAGGTGTGCAGTTTCCCGGAAACCTAAATTGATCCCACTTTTTTTGGCAGGCAGCTCCATACATTGACTCTTGTTTAGGCCTCTCTTTCTCTACAACATCCACCTCTCTGCAACAACCACTTGTTTCTGTCCCCAAAGTGGCTGTTGAGATCAAGAGGTACAACTGTACTTAATCACAAATTCCCCTCAAGATTTTGTTTTTGCCCATCTTGAACTGAAAGGTTGTATGTTTGGTTTACTTAGTCAGCTCAGGCTCTTGGAATAGGATTATTCCCCCCACCATCATCATCATCAGGCAAAGCACAAGTTGTTGATATTCATGTCATGGATAAATTATATGATGATATTGAGCCAAATGCAAAGTAAGTTTTGTTAATAACCCATACACTTACAGGTTGAAACGAGGCTGGAGTTGATCCTGTTTTTATACAACCCTTCCTGCTTTGTTATGCAAATCATGGTCTTTATGTTAACTAGGAGAAGGTTTGTATCAAAACAAGCTCAACCTCAGCCTCACGTTCACTCAAAGGAAACTAAGCCCACAACTGAAAAATGGCCTATCAGGCATCAGTCACTTCTCTTTCTGAACAATGTTGTTTGCCAAGCTGAGGATTAAGCTGATTGTATGCATGGTCAAATGGTGGACAAATTTCTGAAAATCTAGTAAATCCTGTGGTCTTAGAATTCTAAGAAGAGCTTTGCTTTCTGTAAACTTAGCTGATATGTCTGAACCATATGGCCAAGACTTATTTTGTCTTTGCTGGAAAATACTTGAGAATTATTATTTGTTATAAAATTATGCTACGTCAGCTTGTAGGTAGTGAACCAGCTGGCTAGATGAGATTGCATAGTGCTTTTTGCGGATGAGCTGCTCTGCTTAGCGAGGGATTTTCGCAACTGTGAGGGATGTTGATTCATCCCGATTCATCTCATCTCTCTCATCAGTGCCGGTGGAATGAACCAGTCACCCGCGGTAAATCCCGCTCGCAGGCTAATAGGGTCTTTTTCTGGCATTTTTAAGAAGTGAAACAAATTATTCGGCAAGTATTTAATTTGCGGGTCAAAGATTCATGGTAGATACTCCAATATTTTTTTCAGAAGAGATTAAGACAAGTCTAGTTTTATAAACGATAAAACATAGTTTTGTTTGAAGGTTTTATTTCAAGTGACCGGTGGAATGTGACCTGTACCTGAAACTTGTAGGGCTTTAGTTTAGATCCTATAGTTTACAAAAACTTCTAAAAAAGAATACTCTAGATTTGTCAGTTGTTATATAAATATTGTTAAAATTTCTAATATAGAGCTGACGTTTTCAATGCCTTGCTTTCAGTCTTTGCCCCAAGTTGGAACAATATGAGAAGGAATTTTTTGCGAGTGATATGTGGAAAAAGCATTATGCCGAAACGACTGCACCCCTGTTAGCTGAGGTCCAGAAGGCACTTGGTCTGAAATACACTTTGAGTAAGTGAACTTCCTGTGATATTTTGCTGGTTCTTTGAAGTTTTATTCAATTTAAGTTTGTAATGACAACAGCTAATGACTTGTGGTGCTTAAAGTTAAGGTCCATTTGTCACCAGTGGAACAAATTTGTAACCGGAAAAAACAGGTCTCCATTCTGCAATGTAGAAAGGAAGCCGTTTAATTACTCTTTTCAAAAATTCAATATATTGTCATTTCATGTTGCTGGTTTTTTTTTTTGTGAATACACATGAATGTACATTATATATAATATATCTCTTCTGTGGACCAGTTTGTAACTAAAATTAGACTGCAAGGGTGGGTTTCTTTCTCTGCTGGTAAGGCGTGAACTGTGAAGGGAGCGTAGATTAAGTGAACAACTCATTTTGGCTTGGTATTAATGACCAACGCCAAATTAAAGTTGTTTTATGGCCCTTGTATGTTGTTTTATCATGATTTCACTGTAATGGCAGCTTTAAAAAAGATTTACCTCATAAGAATAACGCCGCCTCTGGGTCCTTGTTCATGAAATTAGTAATTTTATCTACTTATACAAATTGTCACATGTACCCTCAGCAATCGACGGCTTGCTTCATGTCAATGATTGCTTGATGACCCACCTTTGCCATGGTTTTGCCATCCCATCCTCTGTGACACAAGACTTGTTGGATCGTATCGCTACCGAGTTAACATACACGTCCTACTCAACATTCAGCTACCCTTCCATTCAAGATTACTCCAGAGTTGGCATCGGCTTTCTGATTGCTGAGATGTGGCAGGTACAACTGTAAAAAAGGCACAAACATATTTAACTGTAACTTGCTGGTTTTTTCCCCATTATTATAATAAAATTACGTACAATAATAGTTAGGAGAAAAAAAAAAGGCTGGGGCTAAGGGCAAATGATAGTTGAACTAATCTGATCTTGCCCGAAAAATTAGAAAAAAATCTTTAACCTAGTGGATACTAGAAGTAAAAATGTTAATATAGAAAGAGCAGACGAAGGAAACGTCCTCCTTTCTCATTATGTTATGCTTTGTAAATAATAATAGATCCTTTATTTAAACACGATCAGTGATTAGAGCTTTTAGTTGAAGTGCACTAATTATTATTGTTATTATTATTATTATTATTATTAATTCTACGAGTGAATCAGGATATTTTTTAGAGAGAAAGACAATGAGTTGGTCCCGACTTGAGGATAATAATAAAACCACTATTATTAGTTTGTCTTCAAAGCGTTATGTTGATTAGAGGAAAGAAAAGATGAAAAACGCCTTATTTTATCTCTGACTGTTTGTTCATAGGCGATGCAAGATGTGATCGCCGGAGAGAGATTTGAAAAGTTTTATCTGTACTCCGGACATGACCATACAGGTACGTTTAGTTACTTAGAGGTGTTAGTTTGAATCAGGGGTAGAATGAAATGACGAAGTTGCAGAGTTCCAAAACGACCCCCCCGCCTCTCAACAAAGTCTCACCAAAGTCTTATTGAAGAGAGCCTTTGTGAAAGAAGGAAACTAAGAAAATCAACTTCGTTATTTTGGTTTGGAATCAGTGGGAATCTTTGATGGTTTAAGAGGCGACATTAAATTATCTCTGTAGGAAAATATTATCTCCCAAGGTTTTAAACACTTTCTTAAGTCTACGTGGCCGCATTCTACTGTTTTTTAGTAGACTTAAGTAGACTTAAAATACTGCTCGCTCCGAGAAATTGAGATACAGTAAAAACCCGCATACAAGAACACCGATTTTCGGGGTTCAGGCTGATTGGGTTCTTATATATCGGGTATTTTAGGTGAAATCAGCCTGAAAGTGTTCTTAAGTGTTCTTAATTTTTTACTTCGAAAAAAATGTAAGGGATTTACTAACTATGATGAAATACTGTACATAATTTACATACATATTGCATGTTTTTGTGTTTTCTCCTTATCATTGCCCTGTCTGTTGAAAATAAAGGATGTGACTGACACTTTGACAAATGGTGACGTTATTTTATTGCATATTTATCATGTAATTATAAGACTTTTAATTCCAAATACAGTTGTTGTACATTTTCTATACACAGCAAGTGAAATTACTAGCATTTATACAGAGATCTTAGTGCAATACCACAGTAAAGCTACAGACACTGTTCTATTAAACTGAAAAGGGAAGAGTTGTTATATATAAGAACAATTTTCAATTTTCAGGCTGAATGTGTTCTTATATATATGCTCCTTTTTTTACCAAATTTCATCCTGGGTGTTCTTAATCCACATGTTCTTGTATGCGGGTTTTTACTGTACAGTTTGTTTTCTTTCTATAGTTATGCCATTCCTACACGCCTTCAATGCAAGCGATTATAAATGGAGCCCGTACGCCTCCATGGTGCAGCTGGAGCTACTACAGGTGACTAATGCTACGAACGTAGACTATGCCGTAAGACTGCTGTATCATGGTCAGGAAAGACGTATCCCTTACTGCAGTGCCTCGCCATGCTCTCTTGCTGAATTCAGTACCTACGTCAAGACTATTATTCCTCAAGATCCTGTTGCTGATTGCCAAGTGACAAAGCCAGAAATCATGATAGGACCACGCCCACCACGTCTTGGCAGAAATCAAGTGTTGTTTTAGATCGAGACACGCCCATGCGTGTATTTTTGTAAGTCAAACTCAGCACTGCCACCACGATTTATGAGATGAATGTTTTTTACAATGGTACTCTTGATTTTATTAAATAAACTGCAAACGACACCAACGCCGCCTACTTGTGTTGATTCTATCGATCGTTCATTTCGAAAGAATTCGTTCTTATAATTTAGGTTTCCGAAAAAAAAAGGATGGGGGTTAACAAGCAAATGAGAGTAAAGGAAGCAAACGAAGGCCAATCACTTAATATTTCAAGTTTGAAGTTTAATGTCGACCTTTCACCCTATAATGCACTGTAGTTATATCAGCAAAAACGTTATGGGTCATCCTTCCAAACAAGACCTTCTTAATTAGCAGTTTGCATTAATAATACCCGTAACCCTCCATCCTTTTAAGTATTAATGCATGGCCCCCTGACATTTATCCGTAACTTGGGGATTTATTTACTGCGCAATTAAAACCTTAAGGCAACTTCGTTTCGTGGTTAAGGAAGCTATATTTGTTGGAACGAAATAAAAGGTTACCTTCTCAACCTTCTTCAGTCCGAGGGTTCCTGTTGTATTTTTCTTAGAGGATTGGCCCTTACCTTCCCATGTATGCCAAGTTTTCACAATCACGTAAAATTCTGCCGTAAGCCAGGAACCAAAGATTACGCTATATGAGAGAGGATTACTACACTAGAAAGAGATTCACCGTCTCAGTAAATCCTATTAAGACCCCTTAAAAGGTCAATATTCCAACATTATGATTGGTACGTATCAAGAGAGGCTGAAAGGGCTTCTGTTGGGTGTACATACCGTGGTTTCAGATCGAATGAAATTTGACCTGATAAAGAATGTACAATATTTTTAGAGGAAATCAGATAAAGCAGATACATTCATCCAGTACACTCTTTTTGTTATATATACTGAATGTTGTTTTTCCAGCCCAGGCTGAATATTCTTATTTTGCCATCGATTTTAAGCTGAAAATATTCTTGAATTATTCTTGATTATAAATTATCGCTTGTGGCTTTTCCGCTTTAGAATGTGTTGGAGTTTCAATTACCAGTGTTCTTGCTGTTTAGTGAAAGGAATTATTTTCTACGGTAAAGTTAAAAACGTGAATTGTACTGTATTAATAGCCGGCCTTTTCAAACTCTCAGCCTCGGGTTTATTCTTAAATTATTCTTAGAATTTCGCAAATTTCAGCCTCGATATTCTTATAGCAAAAAGAGTGTACCATCCTTTTGATGATCTACAAAGTGGCGCCCTTGTCACAGTTTCTTACCCAAACCCTCTGTAACAGACGCAGTGAAACCCTACCCAGTGGTTTATTTCAGTCTACCCAGTGGTTATTTAGCCTCCCCGATACCCAGCGAATAGATTGTTTTTACCCGGCTAATTTTTTTCCTTCCCCGGTCACTTTCTATCATGACTTTACAAGACCGGTGTATTTCGTTGTTTATATTTGTTTAAAAGAAGCAGAAATGTAAAACGTTATTACAATTGACAGAAACAAAATACGGAGGGTATGGTACTCAAACTCGCATTAAAAAAGTGTAAATCGTTTAGTTCTTCTCGCTACAGCAATTAAAAGGTGTTCAAAGTTTTCAGGCTGGTAAAGACAGATGTAAGGCCTGTCACCCCTTCCCGCTTTTGTGGGGGATACAACTAAGAAGAAAAACCCAGTGGAAAATTAACCAACTCAGTGACGTTTTCTACGAGTACCCAGTGAACATATAGTTTCACTGGGTCTGTTACGGAGGGCTGTTTACCCGGGACCACTGCCAGCAGTCGTAGGGGTGCGTTCGATTGGGAATTCTGTATTTAGATTTTGAAATACCGTTTTTGGAATTTTGCAGTAAAACTCGAAACCAAAAAATGGATTTCAATTCCAAAAAATCCGTTCTTAAGGAGGAATCCAATCAAGAAATCCAAGTACGAATTTCATTTCCATTTATCATTTTTCATTTTTATCCATGTTGTTGGGAAATCCGAAAAAAAGATTTGCAGGTGCAGGTGAGACCGCTGTTCTTTCTTGAGAACAGTTTTCAAATCCTTTTCCTCTTTTCCCTCGAAGATAAAACGGGGAAAAATGGAAATTCAACGACGGATTTCACGGCGTTAACATCCGTTTTCAGGTATTTGGATTTCGTCATTGTCAGTATTGCAAATCCGAAATAAGGATTTTTAAATCCGCTAAATCCAGATTTTTTATTTGAACGCACTCTAGGTCGTAACTGGGTGTCTAAAGACTGGATAGAGTCGTGCCCTATTTCAAGGATAAGAGGTCCCTTCCTCCCTGGTCTCGCGTGTGCCCAAACACCTGCCACGCAGCTAGGCTATTCGCGTTCTTGTACCAAACGCTGTAAAAAAGGTTTCTGCTCAAGCGACCTTGCTCTCGAGCTAGTAGTGAGCCGGCTTTGCGTAATTTTGCCCTTTTTTAACAAAGAAATTTTTGTCTAGGCTGTGTACAGAAGCCCCAGCGCCCCCATGGAAAAAGAAAAAAAAATCGGGGAGATAGACGTCACCTCTCTTTCCCTTTTTTGAGAGGAGGAGGCATCTTAGCCTGCGATAGCATGTGTTATATTTTATTTATTCCCGACTGTAAAATCAGCCTTGCTTCTTTTGTTTAATATTTTCACTTCCTGTTGCTGATTAGATCCTTTATTAGGATCCGGTTCTCCTTTTTTTTGTAAGGAGAGAAGAGAGAAGACCGGAAATACGTCAGCGGTTCGCAGGCTCGGGGCGTCTATACACCCCGGGGATGCTTTTTTCCCTGGACTTTTCTTTCAACAAATGTTTACAATTCTTTCATCAAAGAAAGATGATCTTACTTTTATCCAACCCTTGGCATTGTTTTTCCTTCGCGACGGGACATTACATTTCATTCTTTGCACTTCAAATGTAACGAGGGCGATAAGAAATATTTGCAGTCTCTCCGATGAACTCAACGCTACTGTTTTGATATGCTTTAGGGACTGATCGTTCTGCCGAGCTGGTTTGTATTTTCGCGAGGTGAGTTGGCCAACCACATTTTATTTGCACACAGTTTGCCACTTGGTGTGATCTACTCGGCTGCTGTTTACTCATCTTGACGAGTTATTCTTGCAACATTTATACAAACATCAAATTGCTTATATCGATTACCATCCGATTAGATAAAATACAATTACTGTTATTATCATGATTTGAATTGAAGAGGATTAGAACATCACAGAATTATTGCACATCAATTTATTACATTTTTCTGGTTCTCTGTAGTGCAATTAAGACCGTCATATGATTAAGTTGAAAAGATCGATAAGTGTAAATGCAAATGTTTCCATTGTGTAAAAGAGATATTCCTTTAAATGGCAAATTGTAATCCAATACTGCCGAGGAGTCACATTAACTTGTTGTTGTTGTTGTTGTTGTTTGTAAAAGGGCGTCTAATCGATATTCAGTTCCTCCTATCTTCTGCTTGACTTTGTAATAAAGTCCCCGATATACAGCAAATCCCCCCCGGGTACTCCTGGGAATTCTTGGTGGGGGTGTGCCGCCCGGTTCTCCAAATCTTGACCCTATGTCAAACCAAAAAAATTTCATTTTCCACACCCGTTTTCAGACCTGGCCTCTAAAATCCATACTCGTTTTCAGACCTGGAGGTGGTCAAAAAACGCAACATTACATGTTTACATAAAACAGAAATTATGTCATCATTGCTGAGATTGAAACCGCAACAAAAAGATTTCTTAAAATCCATTTCGAATTCGCACATTACACTTTCTTTCTTATTCATTTGGAATTGAAACGACGAACACATCGATACACAACCGTAGTTCCTTCGTAAACCATACCCGATTCGAGACCAAAATGCGCAAAATCTATTCCCGTTTTCGGATCAAAACGGCGCAAAACCTACCCTTATGGGCGGCACATACCTAAATGGCTTACTATACAGGGGCGTTCCTGGCCAGTTTTTACTAGTAAGCCAGGTGGCACAAGATGAAAAAAGAACTAGAAAGGTTAATAAGTATAGCATAATATACGGAAAGACATCGCGTTATTGTCATTATGTAGCTGATCACACAAATTTTGAACTTCGCGCTACATTTAACAATACTTTAAAGTTTTAATCCGCACTCCAGCTATATACACTTAAATGAATTGGCTACGGTTTATGCTGTAGAACGAAAAAGTTACGAGAGATCGTTACGAGATGGAAAATTTCAAACGTTTAAACAAGACAACAGTGATAACATGCAGGTCAATGCCAACGTTACGTTTCAGTTATATGATGTAAATGTTCAAAATTCGAATGCCAATCGACTCACTTTCTTGGCACAAAACTCTTGGACGAATTTGTCGGTGTCGATGTTCCAATCTCTGCAAGTATGCAGTAGAGCGAGACCAGACAACCTCTCTGCTTCCGCTAAATGAACGCTCCGTTTCAAAAAGTACTCCAGTTGTCCCTAGCTCTTTGCTAACTTTTGCGACGGAATTCACTTGCCACTCTTGAGAAAACCTATTAAAATTTTCTCATTGTGATTACCATCAGGCCTATAAAGAGTTTTGCCGAAAATTTAATTAAAAAAAAAAACTTGTAAGCCAGGGCATGCTTACTTGGCCTACAGGCAGGTACGCACCCGGCTTGTATAAGGGATTGCCCCCCCGGGAAAGACCACATATGGCTTCAAATCAAAAAAAGCAAGCATCAGGTGACGAAAGGGTTTCTATACTTGCCCACCAATCGAATCGGTTTTTCATTGCTTTTTGAGCTGGAAGTTGTATAAATAACCAACGAAAGCCTCTCCGCTCGACCGATGATGTTAAATCAAAACGGACCCAGACTATAGGCTGTTTTGGGTTTACTGCTCCACTTTTCAAGACAACGCCATATTGTTTTAAAAAACATTTAGTTAGATCAGCTAATGCCCAAGTGACTCATATAGCTCGAATTTTGATGTTTAAAAAAATTAAATATTTGATATTAGTCATTACACACATTGCAAATCCCAGGACCATAAATATTTTTTAGTTCATGCATGTCTTCAGACCTCTTCAGGTAGAAACCCATAACCAGGAGCATGCATCTCCCATACTTCAGATATGCAACGGTGTTCTAGCAGATTAGTTTATTTTAAACTATTGTAGTACTTTTGCCCGCGAAAGTGGAAGCACTGTCCCATATGTATGCGCATCCATAGTACGATAATAAGTATTCGGTTTTTGCTGATGGATGTGTAAGGCTTATTTGTCAAAATTCGCGGAAAATCGATCTAAAAATAAACCGGTCCGTCAAGACACCGTTGCACGGGCACAAGGGAGTTGCTCGCTTCCAGTTATAGGCTCCTACTTCAGGATATTCCCGTTAACTGGCAAGTATGGATAAATTTTTCGTCTCCTTAGTGAATTCTTGGCATCAATCTTGAATAGCAGTCAAGAGAAGCCTGAGAGGCCAGTGGCACTTACCAAGCAAAAATTCAAGTACCCCCCCGGGCTATTTTCTTACTTTGCTAATTCATTTTGTCTTGTAAGTGCCCTAAGACCAATTTCCGTCCCCCCCCGACCAATCCTTTTTGCTAGGGAATCAGAGGTCAATCGATCAATTAAACAATTTCGTTAGCTGGAATATGTCAAATGTGATTTGTTTACCGAGGAAAAATTAAAGAGCTCTGTGGAACTCGTTTAAAATTCCAAATTGAATTGGAGTTTGTGAGAAGAGTGGGAAACCGGGGCACCCCAACAGCTTTATTTCAAGTTGAAATAAAGCTGTTGGTGGAGCAAAGAGGAGAACAAACAGCGTGCGACTTACTTGAGCTGGACCACATTGGTGGGAGGCGAGTGCTCATAAGTTCACATCGAAGCGACGCCCTCCCCAATTTCCGGGACTAATTAATGCTAAGTGTAATTAAACTTCTTCCTTTTTATTTATTATTATCATCATTCTTCTATTTATTTTTTACCGAAGTAATACGTTGAAGCTGTTATATATTCTGCATGGCTATATTCAACCCTTTGTGATCTTGGCCTTCGCTCGCGTGATCAATCACTTTTTTAACTTGAATACACTGAAGTTTCTATGACAGAATTAGTGGGCTCACATCCGTCAATTCAGATTAAAAGGGGAAAAGGTTAGTTTCTTATTTTTGCACAACAAAACTCACTATTCAATTCAACTGCAACAGCTGATTTTTCAACTGAATGTCAAGAGCGTTTATTGGTTTCTCGCTCAATTTTGAGCCGATTCCACAATGATAGCCGGAGAGTTCTTATCTTGTTTGCCTTCTTTTTAGACGGGCAAATGTGAATCGAAGACAACCTTTTTCACTGAACCTGCGTCCTTCTGATTCCACCTAACGTGACAACACTCCAAACAGCAAATGGGTGCTCAAAGAAGTTTAAAAATGTAAGTAAGGGGTTTCATTCTTGCACAGTTTTAGTCATTTTACTGACCTTACATATCCTTAACTGGATCTAGATAAAAGCCAAAGTTAGGTGAATCTCCACTGATGCATTCTGACAATGAATTTTTTAAGTAAGAAGTAAATTGGTCAATGAAGTTAAGCCACACATAACCGCCTCCATGCATATAAAGCGACTGTGTTCAAAGGGGCCAACGAAAAAGGAGAGGCACAAAAAACCGATTCCTAAATGATCTAATTAGATTTTTTGCAAGTTAAAACTTGCAAGCTCCCCTCTCTGATCCGGACAAGAGACGACCCCCCGAGTCGAGAAAGTTTACGTGCATGGCAGCGGGCGCTAATTAGGTGGAAACTTGAAATTTAGAAACAATATAATAACAACTGAACATGTAACTGTAAAGAGGAGATTCAATTTAAAATAAATTACCTAATTTATATTTTGTCCCACCCTTAAATTAGCATTACGTTTAGTTTAAAGAGAAAGTGGGTGTGTCAGCCAATCAAATTGCAGAATTTGTAATTGGTAAGCTAGTTGGCTACTTATAATTCTACCTGTATATACTTGAAAACCCTCCCTTGTGCTGCATTAAGAGATCTTGAATAGATTTATTTGTACTGTAAAGCATTGTTCACTGTTGTTTATAGTAAACTTTGCATAGCGTATATTTCTTTCCAAGAAACAAAATGTTTTTGTCAGAAACGTCTTGCAGCGGTCTTAAATCACCTTTAGCAGTTGCGTGCAAAATAGAAAGGAAAGTCAACTTGTGGTAAACTTATCAACCTGAGACGCATTACAGTGAACCGCGCCCATCGATCAGCATCACATATTGAAGATTGGGGCAATATTGAAATCCTAACGTGGGTAAACATTTTTAATTAAGTCCCTAGCAAGCCTTTGTTCACCGTTCACCATTCCGTATCCGGCTTAGCCAAGACAACTGGCGTCCGGTCGAGGAATTCAGTCGACAAGGTGCTCATTTGAACTAAAAAACAAACGAAAAATAAACATTAAAACTAATCAACTTAGTCACCGGATACGCATATTTTATTTCAGGCCGCATAGAACAGATGGACGCATCCATTTGTGCTTGGCCAATATGTGTAGTAGCTTTCGTGCCCCTGGGTTTCGTGCTCGGCACCTTGTTTGTCAGTGTTTTCATCAGGAACGGAAACACTTGTCACTGATCAGAGCAGTAGAACATGTACATCTAATCCGTCGTTTTCTGGTATTACTAAGTTAATCCCTTTAATATCTACTCTAACATTTTGAAGTTGACTTTAAAGATCGTAATTTTAATCCCCAAAGTTATCTTCTTCGGCGAAACAACTTTTAAGACATGATCATGCAATGTTTTCTAATGTTCTACGAAGGAACAGTCCCCCCAAATTTAGTATAACTGATATATATGGAAAAATATTTCTAAAACTGAAGTCATAATACTTATCAAGTAAGTTTTCAGCTGGCAACAAACTTTACTATAGAGTGTAACTACAATGCCCAAAATGGACCTGACATCTTTTTGTTGAGATATATAAATTAGTATTAGGTGTAAAATTCGTAATGTACTAATAGACTCATTAATCATGCACTCAACAATAAAAGTGTGCACTTTTTATCGATCTATTTCGCTGTTTTCAAAGTCCTGGTGATTGGAACAACCTGTAGAAAACACTAGAATTTCTTGAAATGAAATCCTAGCCCTCGTAAACAAAAAGTCAGTCAAGGATTATGCAATGCTTTATTCCGTAAGTTCTGTTGTTGACATTTTAATTTAACTCAAGTGCAATTTCGAGGAGCACTTTTTACCTTTGTGTATTTGCCAGATAAAGGTCGAAAAAGTGTTGAGTTTGATATTAAAGGGAAGCAGGAGTCAATCCATGTAAAGGGAAAAAAATCAACTGAGATCTCACCGGGATCTTAAAAAGGAATTACGCTATCACGGTTCCCCCGTTCAGTGCATCTTAGCTTATCTATCTATACCGTCACTAATTGATAATGCATTCTCCAGACTCAGCATAAAAGGAAGGCAGAAATGTGGCTTCGTTGCTGCGTAAGGGTATTATGCCTTTGGATTTGCTTATTGCGCGTTGCCGTTATTGTTTAGTCAGTATATTGTTCTGCAAAAAGTTGACAAGAGTTGGACAAAAGAGCTAGACTAGTATAGTAGAAAGCAAACAAAACATCTTTGTTTCTCCAAAGTGGTTCAGCGATATTGCAAGATTTCAAGTGTCATGACCTGAAAAAGTAATGTGGCTTACCTCAAGAAGCTGCAATTATTTAAGTTGGAATGTCTTTTTAATTTGTGCCGTCCGTCGGTTCTGAATATCGTAATCAAGGAAAAATGAGTTTGTAAGCTATAAAAGTGACGTTTGTGCTGCGTTTTTCCAAGTTTTGGTGGCTTAATTACTCACCCCCTGGGAGCACATTTACAACTGCGTCACTAGGCAACGGCGCGGTTCAGAGGAGGAAGTGTGTGATAAACTGATTTGCAGCATGTGACTTCATATCAGACCTGCAAGACGTGCCATACCAAACGTATTTCGCTGCTGGCACTTGGCGCGTTTCGGATTTCATCCATCATAAGAAGCATGGTGATAAAAACTTACACGGAGTCTTCGTTCTTTCGTCTGAAACTCTCACACTACAGCATTTTTTTAGCTTAAAAACTTCGCTTGGGGAAAAAAAATTCTCGTTCACCACTCGCTGCTTCAACGTTGCAGAAGATATCCGTCTGGTGCCAGGACTATGAAAATGCCCGCCGAAAATCGTAGACCCAAAACTTCCTTTTCCGTTTCGAAGAACACAATGTAAGTTTACTCTTCATCTTTGCATTACACAGTTTATTGTTACTTTGAGATGTTTAGTTCCAGCTTTTAGATGCACTTTTTCTTGTAGGCCTCTGAACTAGATAACCCTTGCGTGAAAATAGACTACAAAAGGGTGTTTTAAGCTTTCTTTGAAGACAAATTGTTAGACGCGATTAATTGATGTTTATGTTGACCTACTCTGACCTTCTCATTTGTATCTTGCTTAACAGAAGTATTTGTGCGCCGTATACTTGGGAAGTTAGCGTGTTTGCAGCTTTAAGAAATCTCACGAAATTTCTCTGTTTTCTTTCCCTATTTTGCAACTGCTATGCGCGTTGTCGTTTTCAATTACATGAAAATAGCTCGCTAATTCACTTCAAGTGCTCTTCTGTTATCTCTGTCTTAAATGATACGTTTTATTGCAAGCACTTCTGCTATGCGTCTCTTTCAAAGTAGTGGATGTCATCGCCGAGCATCTTTAAGTCTTCACAGTCTCATATCACAAGTAAGCAGCAAGTACACCTTTCCATTGTACGTTGATTTGCACTACGTTTTTTTAACGCAGAGCTTAACTGGGCTCAAAGGAGGCTAGCTAGGCCATTCCGGCTTTTGTAATAATAATCACGCTAAACAGATAAAATTAGGGCTTCTAAACATTTACAACCGGTCGAATTTTGCTTTGTGAGAGCTCAAGCTTTTTCTTGTTTGCCGTTAGCTTTCGTTAACTTGTCTCAGTAATATAACTAGAAAATTTGCGGACTGTTATTGGTTATCCAACAAAGGTTGCTCAAGTAACGCAAGGGTAGTAATGTAATTGCCCCCTGATGACATGGTTTTGTTGTCCACTGATTGTGTACAAAACGTCTTCGTTCTGGTTGTTATTAAAATATGCACGCTTGGGTAGCTTGTGATAAAAGCCATTATGAAAACTAGTTCGATATCTCTGGTGAGCTATACATTGTAGGTTGTGAGGAATTTTTGTTGTGGTTGACGAATGTTTTCGAACAGCGATATAGGTCTGATCGATCTTTTTAGTTTATTCAATTGAATCTGGTTAACACTGCAAGATAGCCCATGTCTTTGCGCAGATCTAGAAGGCGCATGAGAGAATAAAAAGAGATTCCGTTTGAATTCGAGTGAGTTTATAACATCCTAATAATTCATTTTGTCCGACCCATGTAGAGACGAGATTGGCGTAAATTTGCGCACGCGTGCTAAGTACGCGTTTCCAGGTGGTTGGCGTCAGCCATAATTAACGCTGCTCTGAATTCTGATTGGTTCATTACTTTATCTTTGTCAATTGGTTGATTCTTTAAGGGCTACCATGCTTTTGTTTTCTCTAGGAACATTTGTTTCAAAACAAGTCCCGTGAATTGTACACGCTTTCGTACTGGCTATAGGACTAGTGCTTGTCATTTCTTAATATAAGTCTTATACTGGTTTTGTTTTGTTTTAGTTATGAGACAAAAACCGATTTACATCATTTGATCTTATGGATGTTAAGAGGTTTTTGGCTGGATGGTTCGAACCTAATGCGATGATATTATGTTCAAACCCAAAGCAAGTGCACTAAAAAGAACGGTTCCATTTTTATTTGTCTTGATTGATAAGCTCTCCTTTAAAAATTGAGTGGCTGAAATTTTGTTCCTACAAAACGCATGTAAAACGTTTAGCTTTTACCTCTGGAGTGTACAAGAACCCGAGCTTCTTGCGTTGGGCCGGCCGGTAAATCGACTCTCTAAAAGAGCTTTGTACAGAAAAGTGCGACAGATTTTCTTCTAAATCCTAAAATAAAACATTCATGAAATTTTTGCTTTAATCCCCCCTTTCCATTAAACTAGCAGTAGCAGACAAAAATATCGAAGATTTGCGTTCGAGTTATTGTCATGTCTCGAAACTGTAATCCGATTTTAAGAGCGCAATATCAGAAGATCTGAGGTTTGTTTCAAGGTTGCTTGAATTGAACTGGATGGATATTTTTTGGGAGCAAATAGGTCGAATTTTGACAGCATGCTCAAAACACTTTAGACCTGGTAAGTTAAGCAACTTTCTGCATGACCCGTACTTGATAATCAAGCTTACCACAGGTCCCTCAATATTTAACTTGCCGTAATAGGCTGTTCGTGATGTACGGATGAAATAAGCGTTCTTTTCTTTTCTGGCTTTAAGTCGATCTTACTTGTTTTCTATGCAACGATGACGTGTGTGTTTCCAAGCTGCAGCGCACGGAATCTTAGAGTTGACTAACTAAAACTGGGTGGCCTATTTAGCCGGGGTTCGAAAACGTGTCGGTGAACACAAGAGTTAACAAATTGAACTGGAAATAGCCCCTACAGAAAGAATCGGTATCTAATGCCTGTTAAGCCGGCGCACGTTCTTCTCAATGTAACGACTTGCAAAAAAGCGAATGGCGACAATCTGACTAATTTATTCCTTTGCTGTATCATTTCTTTCTGCAATGAATTACTTTCTTACCAAAAATAAACTGATAAATTGGTGTGCTGCTCACTAAATCTGTTTTTAATGCTGCCTTTAACGCCTGTAGCGGAGCTTCAAGTAACAAAATCTGGTCTAATCTCGTACCCAGATCTCTTGTTGACGAGGCCGACAGGAGATCTGGGTACATACGCACATACATAAACTTTATTTTAACTCGAATTTACAGAGTAGCTTTATTGAGCTAATATTTCCGAGCACGAGATTAAATCTGGTCAGGTGTCGGTGTGAGAAAGTTTGGTTATGACGTAACCGAATTACGGAGCGCTTTCCACTCAACAAAAATTCCGGTTTGAATTTTTTTTTTCCAATATATTTATTGATAATCACATTAAATAATTACAGTTACAATACTACAGAAAAAGAAAAAAAAAAACACTTTAACAATAGACATTAACAGAGTAAAGCAAGATTAATTATTAAATTATTAAATTAATACAGGGCTAAAAGAGACTATAAAAAGTACAACAGGGCAATGAAATAATACGAAGTTAATGCCGTTAACTTAAATAAGGCGTCAGTATCATCTTTCTTTTAAAGAATTCTTTGTTGCTGATTTTTTCTTCTGTTTCGTATTTAGCGATGATCTTGGCCCTAAATCCATAAATGTTTGGAAAGATTTGTTTGCTCCTACAGTCCCACAAATAGAGTTTTCCAATAATTATAAAATAGTTCAGCAGTTGAAGTAAAGGGTAAGTATTTTCCGTCAAAATTCCAAACAGCACATTTTCCAAGCAGAGACGAATTCGTTGATTCGAAATAAGGCACCAATAAAGTTCAAAATCAATCCAAAACTGTTTAGAGCGCGAGCAGTGATAGAACAAATGAGTTTGAGGTTTGAAATTTACCTGTAGGAAATTCCACGTGTCAAGCCACGTGTACGGTTGCACAGACTCGACCCAAGCCACCGCGCGTTTGGTTATTGTTCTTGTAATCAGGATACAAAAGAGCGGTACTGGGAACAACAATTTTATCACAAGACCAAGAAATTCACGATACCCGCCATCTTTGGACGCGCTAAAGGACTGATGGGAAAAAAAGAGCAATGTCAACTGGTTTCTCAGGGGTTAAACAAATGATAAAAGCTGCCAATTCAAGAAATCACCGTCGAGTTTGTTTGCTCTAGACAACAGAAAATAAAGAACTTTCCATAATAAAGTCGACAATGGCAATTTATGGGTAGAAGTAATCATTGTTACTTCTTTGGATGCTGTAGCGACCGTAGATGTCCTCACAGCAAACAATAATGTCGTAAATCTTGTCGAAACTCGAAATGGCTTTTCGCTAGAAGATTGAATCGTCGTCATGTTTTGATAGCATAAACAAACTCGACCACGATTTCTTGCATTGGCAGCTTTTATCAGTTGTTTGCCCCCTGAGAAACCACGTGACATTGCTTTTTTCCCATCAGTCCCTTACCACGTGCAAAGATGGTGGGTATGGTGAATTAGGTGTAATGGAAAGGGACATTTCGGTCCGACCAACCAAAATGACCAGACCGGTCAAAGTGGACTACCTTCAAAGGTGGTACCAAATAGGCGCGATCCATTCAACCAAAATCCAGACCGGTCCAACCGAGAAAAGAGGACCCCCTCAAAAGGTGGACCTGTTTTTTCGAAACTTTTCAGGTTGGACCGAACCGATCCATTGAGTTTTGGACCGAAATTTCCGGAAATTTTGGTTGAATGGATCGCGCCCAATATTTCGGTCGGACCGAACCGAAATGGTCCGTTCCATTTTGTGGGCGTCAGCTGTCCAACTCTGTAAGCCAAAGTGATGGTGCTTTTTTGGCGGGAAATCGTGTGGCAACCCGCCACATGATTTGGGCGGGAAAAATGAATAGGAAACTGAAGATAACAACAAGAAAGCAAAAAAAGGTGTCGTAAACGTTGTAACCAGAAAGGAATTTATCGCTGCTCTACGGCATACTATTTGCTGAATTTGATGAGGACAATCAGATATACTTTCTAGAGTCCAGGTGACAACTTACTCGTTTGCTTGTTTTATGAAAGCTTATTGTGGGGTATTGTGAATTGGCAGTTCATTTGCATAATCAGTTTAAGCTTATATTTAGCACAGAAATTATTTATTTTGTTAAATTTAGTCTGACTAGCATTTGGTTTTGACTCAGGCTTAAATAATATTGTGCTTATAAAACGCAAGTTTTGTCTTTCTCATTTGGATGGCGGGCGATGAGTTTAAATTGTACAAAGCAGTTCGTGGCCGATTCTTCGGATCTGCTGTACTTTCACATTTAATTGCTTGGTTTATTGTGCTTTTCCCTAAGTGGCCTTGCACGTGGGCGCGAAGTATGATGTTTTAATAGTAGCAGTTCGGAGGAGAATAACGAGCGAAAGAGCTCATTACATCAAAAATCTATGGTATCTTAAACTGAAACTATTCATTAAACCAACACCAAAAAAATAACCTTAACTCACCTAGAAATTTTAATATACTTCAACACCAATAAACCACATCAACTTTTTTTTTTTTCAGGCAGAATACCATTTATATTAGAAAACCGCAGGTATCTCAGGAGGGGGGTGCGCACCCCTTAACCCCTAGATCCGCGCCTGTAAAATACAATACGTTAGTCATTCTGGTATACATGTAGTTACACTGGATCAATGAAATTCCTCTACGCAATTTGGAAAAGCCAAGAAGTGGATTTTTAGTTAAATTAAGTTTACTTCTCGTAGCTTTTGTCGTTAGTTTACTCATTTTAGAGTTCCCGGTGTCACAGCTTATGTTTGAAACGACTTGGAGTGTGTGCGCGTAATAAATCAGGCTAAATAGATAAAATATTATAATTATTATTGTTATTGCCGGTTTTTGTCTTATGCTAAATTGAACGAATAATGGTTGTTTTAAAGTAAAGCATTTCTACCTGAATAGAACTAAGTAAGATTGTTTTTTGCGTGCTCGGAATTGAGTCAACTTCATGTCACCCAACTCAAGATCAGCATTATAAATCAGTCTCGTATTTCGATATGACTACGAGAGGCAATAAGAATGTTGTTTTCGAAGACAAGAAAAGACAAGAATGGCGCTGAAAGTATTATGCATGGATTTCTGACCTGATAATAGTCTTGTCGGTACTGACTCCATATCAAAGTGATTAGCAATTGTTTTTCTTGATTACTAATTTGCATTGTGAGTGGAACCTTTTTGTTTCCTTGGTCGCCCTAGATTCAAATATTTGTTGGTGAATAAATGTTAAGCGTTAAGATAAATGGCACGTGAGTGAAATCTTTAGGAAGTACCATGGAAAAGTCTTTTAAATGACGGATCATGACTTAGCGAGGTAAAGTTATAAGTACCTAATTCTATTTTAGGTGTAAAAGTGACGTATTACACATAGCACTTTTCTCTACGCACAAGGGCCAAGCTCGCAAAGCTAAATCCTTAACATTGCTTAAGATTAGTGGACGGATTTTTAGGTACTTAATGGTATAAGTTGATGGAGTGTTTGTTGACTTAGAGAGTTTAATCTTGCTCTTTCATGATCCAAAGATCAAAGTTTTTTTTTCACATTTTTCACATTTTCTAACATAAAAAGCCTAGCTAGCATCAAACACTGTTATAAATAGATTCTATTTAGCAAATGGTCACAGTTTATGATTTGGTCAAGGAAACAGGGGACTTCAAAAGTCTTGTGGACCGAGAGAGAAACAAATTTTAATTCATGTGAACCTCGTGATAAATCCTGGCCGCTAGCAAGAACTTTCACTCGTTGAGAATCCACTGGAATCGCTATACTTTAGCAAAAAGTATGTAGCCCTAATCGGCGACGTCATAGCGATACACTCTTGTGAGTATACGTGAACGTTTAAAATAATCAGATATGAACAATTATCTACAAACTATTAGCTTACTCCAGCAATTGTTATAATAATTTTGTTGTTGTTAGGAAGTACCGATTAAAAGTTAAAAATAGTGATGGAATCAGAACTGAATTATCAGGTAGAGACTATTTTAGTTACCAACTGCGAAATGAAGCAAAATGTTTAAGATGAATTCGTTCAAAATGGTGTTTGTTCAGCAGAGTAATTAGTTTAAAACATCGGCAACAAAGACATAAAAGTTTTTTTTGTCAAACTCTCTAGCACTCGCTTGAAAATCCGATACATAAATGAAATGTTGATCAAAGGAATCAAAGTGATCGCGCTTCTGCTGCGTCGGTAACTTCCATGCTATATTTGCTATATTTCTCACTTTTACTTCATCACTGAGCGATAAAAATGCATATGGTTCATGATCAGCCAGTGTAGCATCTCTACTTCCTATACGCTGCCTTGCAGAAATATTTCTCAGTTTAGTAGAACAGAAACGTGTTATTGTATATTGTGCTTTAAAATTTCAAGTCAGTGGGCAATTTCAGCCAGGAGTCTCGTAATGTGCAAATCTTACATGCAAGTTTTTACTGTAATGTAATAGACGTCAAGTGAGACACGTTTGGAGCAGACATAGCGTTTAAAGAACTTAAATTTTTAAGAACAGACATTTTTAAGGCCTCGTCATTGGCAGTCTCCGACGCAGACGTGCTCTTAGGGCTCTGTCACCCTTCGTGAGAGGCTTTTGTGTAGTTTGGTGACCCAGTATTTTCCATTGCTTATATACTCAAAAGGTAAAAAATCTAGAGATGAAATAAAATTAACTCCTGACTGGATGAACCCGAGGTTTTCAAGGACAGCTCTATAGCCTGCGAGCAATAAGGGTCAAGCGTGATGAACTTTTGCCACTCATGATTTCCAAATAGAGAGCTTTTCGCTTGCTGTGAACATCAACCCCAGCTATTTTATAGCAATACTTAGGTGAATACTTCACCCAGGAGAAGTTAAAAAAGCACCCTAAGCCCCTGGATTATACCGCCTCCATAAAGCCCAAAACAAATACAACATTTTTCTTTTTCAACATTACCATTCCTTTTTAGAATGTACCTTCATTATGCAATTTCAATTTCTCTTAGATCCCAGGGCCACACGGTAAAGGACGATTTGGAAGTGTGGATGTCGTTTCAGAAGCACCGCACTGTTCCGCCGTTCCCTGGTCATGCTGGGGGCACTGCCAGGAGCTGGCCAAACTCAAGACCAGCTGGAGGTATGTGCAAGCTATCCTTCTCGTTCGGGACACATTTTTGTCATTTTTCTCCGAACGGATAATGAACGACGGGTCTGAGCTCCCTAAAACGGTCGCTAAGTTGGACCCTACCGTTCTTTAGTCATTTACCATACTAGAAATCCTCTGATAAGCCCGGGGGAGGGGGGGGTATCTATTTCAAGCACGTTTGAGGGGGAGGGGAGTTTGATGGAGAGGGGGGTTTTAGGGCTTATTTGAGAGAGGGGCTTAATAGAGAGAGACCTTACCATCATTTAGCTCTCTGTAGGGTCTGTAGGGCGGTCAACGAGTCTTTCCAAAGATACCGTTGAACCTCTATGCGCGACCACCTCTCGTAAGCAACCACGTTTCATAAGCGACCATCTTACCAAAACACCAAAACTTTCCAAGGCAAAGGCTTAAAGTTGGAACCTCTCGTAAACGACCACCTCATGTAGCCGACCGCAATCACTTTTTGGGCCTGAAAGTTAATGATTTTCCATTGTTTTTAAGCTCATGTAAGCGACCACTTGACGCATTCTCTAATCTCTGTGTTAGCTGTGTGCACTGACTGTGCTACTTTGAATATACGAAGAACTTTAGTAACAACATGAAACTACTCATGGCGTAACTTACTGAATGTAATAAATTATCTTCCAAAAAGTAGATGTGCCCGAACCTCTTCTCGGAAGAAGCCCCGTGTGGTTTTAAGCGACCACTATAAGTCTTTGCATTTTGGGTGGTTGCTTACGGGAGGTTCGAATGTACTAAACGCTTCATACAACTGCAATGCACGTTACACCTCTTACTCCCCTGTACTGTGGACACCGAAGCCCAGTCCGTATTAAAGCAGTTTCACTTTGCTAATAGCCGTTGAGCGTGGGCTTAATGTTACCTTCTCTCAAATCAGCGGCATTTACAGTAGATGACATTTGATCTGATATTTTCTTTTGGAATTATACAAAATTTCATTGAAGTTGCAAGAAGTTGCTGCTTTTGCAGCTATAACACTGTGCGCAATGGCTGCGAAGCATTGTTTGGTCAGGCTTTTTACTGCCTTTCTATCAGCCGAACAAAGGGAAGTAAAAACCGATAATGCATGTGTGCACTTGGCAGTACTTTTAAGGCATGTCGTGAAATGTACAATGCTATAAATTGCTGGTCTAAATTTGCAATCGCCAGCAAAATATAGCCTCTTCTCGAACTGCTCTTTCTTTTTTACTCGGATCCTTCACGGACAGTGGTTTTAGCCCAAAACGGCCGGGTTTGCAGCTGCCTCAACATGCATTGCCCTGTAAAACAGAACGTTTTGCATTCGATGGCAACTTTATTTTAAACTTAAGCTCGCGCATGACCTTGTATCGCGCTATTTGTTTTCGAATGACGAATTTCGGTCGTTAGTGTCTCATGTGCAAATTGATGAAAACAGCCAACTGAACCACCTCCTGGAAAGTCTCGGTCAGAATTGAAAAGTAATGTCCTGAATACACGTTACATTATATTATATAAAGCAACCAGGCAGATAGGTCTTTGCACCATCATCTGCTTTTCAGTGAGCGACACAAGGTTTTGATGAAATTGGTAACAATGGTGTTATTTTGAACAGTTTCCACCCTGGAATTGGGCTTCATCAATCGGCGAGCAGTGTCAACCACTGAATCACGTGCCAGAGGGCTTCCACCAATCACAGACAAGCCTAGGCCAGGAAACAGAAAAGTTGGATTAAGAGATGGTAGACAGGAAAAACAACAGCTCTGTTGGGCCAGAAGTTGGGCAGGAGTCCGCGCGGAACAAACAAACGTTCACGCTAAAGGTTGCACGGTTTGTACTACGCATAATAGAAGAAGTCACCTGGGCCCTTTGAAAAACTCAGGCTTGAAAATTGCACACAAAAACAAAGTGTTAGCGATGAATGAAAAAGAGGCAGTGTTATTTAAGAGACTAAAAGGAATCTACGCAAACTCTACGGAAAAGACTTTACGGGTTCAGCGACTTCAGAATAATATTAATTCATTACAGTCGAGAACTCTTCACTCAGAAATAGATTATAGTTTAAGAGAGTTTAAAAAGAAACAAGAAGATGACAAGAGGAATAGATCAGAACTCAAACGAGTCCGAGAAAGGTTTTCAAAGGATAGAGAACACCGTCGCAAGAGTTCTTACGTGAGTTTAAGCGCACTAGAGTGTCCACAAGTGTCCCGGCAGGCGTATGGGCTCCCCGAGGATGGCCATGAATATAGACAGTCTAGCGTGATGCAACATGCTCAAGAAAAGCTGCGTGATATTTGGAAAAATGCTATGAAACGCGCTGTCATTGTCGATAAAATGATAGGTGTGATGAAAAAAGAGAAAGAGCCGTTACCTCAGATTAAAGTACGGAGAAAAAGCATGGCTCAAAAAGAAGCAAGGTCCCCCAGTCCAGTAAAAGAAGGTAGGCCAGAGTTCTGGTTAATTTAGGCCCCGTCGACACTAACGCGTTTTCGTTTGAAAACGCATACGGATCGATGCGTTTAGGCCTTCCGTCCACACTAATAAGCTGAGCGCGTTTTCATCGGAAACGCATCTATTTGAAAAAGCTCTTGAAAGTGGATCAAACGAAAGCGCATGGCCTATCGTATTAGTGTCGAGTGTCCAAAAACGGTCGAAAACGCATCAAAATGAAAACGATGACCGAAAATATTGCACGCGCGTGTGTTTGTAGCATGCACATTGTTTTCAAACCTTTTAGTGTATAGCCGAAAACGTATCAAAGCCGGGGACGTATATCGATCGATGTGTTGTCGATGACAACTGAACACATACTTTTGAAAAGGCATAAGTGTGGACAGGTCCTTAGTTTTCCATACTTGTCACTACTTTGACCAGGAACTCAAGTTATATGTAAGGAGTCACATCAATGAGATGTATTTTCATATTCAATAAAGACCTAATAGCCGACACCTACAGTACACTTGTTAACGTCCACTTACGTGTAATACAAAGTTTCAGACATTGACATTCCTGTCAGTTTTTGTACTTGGGATGAATAGTTAAAAAAACACAGAGCAAAATTAGTCAGATATCTAATATCAAAAATTGTCCAAAATCCTATTTCTACATAATTTCTCGGTCTAAGATAGCTTAGGGCTCCAAATCCGCGCAATGGCCCTCTTCCATTTGTATTTCATGGATATTTTCATTGGCCTAGAGTTTTTAGCGGTTAAATTAAGATTAGTTCTCACTGTCAATGATCATTTTTGTAGCGCTCCAAGAGAGAGACTCCATGGAAACAGTGAATCAGCTTGAAGTGGTTCTTGGAGAAATTGATGCTATGTCCACAGGTACGACTCGCAAAATATGCTACAAACTTTTTGTCTAGCCTATAAGTCCTGATATTATACGAGGCTCCGCGTGATTTTCGAAGCGAACTATAACACTGCTTAAAATTCTTATTTGTGTTTAAAAATAACTGGCTGATTGTACGAGTGAATTTCGCGAGGCGTCTTATCTTTGGAAAATCATGGTAGTGACGAATTTTGTGTTCCACTCTCCCACCGAAGTAACGCTGCATTTTTGAAAAAAACGAATCCCTCTTACTATACTCTACAGTCTATCGACCCTCAGAAAATCCTTTAGTCTGTCATACACCGAGTCAGTGTGTAAGATTGTCAGTCAGCCCGGTATAAGTCGTTAGTTTGTCAGTTAGTCCGACAGAGAGATATAGTTATTTACTTCAGTAGTCAGACAGACGTTAGACCCGTCGGTTTTTCACTCAGGCAGTAGGTTCGTAAGACAGTTTATCAGCCAGACAGTAAAGCGGTCAAGTCAGACAAGGACAGACAGACAGTCAGTTCTACAGTCGATGGAACCAGTCAGTTAGTGAGTAAACTATCCAAATGGATGGGTCAATCACTCTCCTCTCAGCTCTTTAATGTTTTTTGTTTGCTATGGTAAGTTAGTGACATTTGTTTCATTTCAATTGCAGTGATATCAGAATCAGATGAAGATCTTACGGACACTGAAGAAGAATTTGATTAACGTTCTCCTCCAATATTCATAATATAAAAGTTAAAGATACAAAACTGTGCGCAAAAGTTAAGCTTAGCAAAGAAGTTAAAACTTCTTACCTATGTCTTTTCCGTATCATCGTATACCAAGGTTTGAAAACAGTTCTAACTTGCCCAGAGTATTTACTAGGAATATTATTTTTTGTAAGGCCTACACGTTTTCTACATATAACCGATTGTCTCTCGGGATAAACAGATAACAAATTATTTATTTAAATATAATTTAAATATAAATAAAGAAAGATTAATTGATTGAGTTAACTGTTGATTTGGAGTTACTAACGGAAAAATGTTCAGTTGAAAGGGCGGGGTTCTTCCTTCAATTCCCAGGGCAGATTTGCTCGAACGGGAAGATCACCATGATCTCTTACATGCTCTGTTAACAGTTAACTCTGGATTATAACTTACTCTCGTGCTTCGAAGAGAGCGACCAAGGAGTTTGAATATCCGGGTGAGCTTGGCTATTCTGAAAAAAAAAAAAAAGTTATTTTCGTGCGTCTGGAATCATGTAAGACTTAAAACATATTGGTTGTTTATAAAGATTTCACACAGGCCGTTGAATTACTTTGTAAGAGGCCTTTGCTTGTATTCCGTTTTACAGTCGTTACTGAGACGAAGAAGGCGGAATACGTCACGGAGACCTATACGCGTGGACCAACTCTACGATGGTTCAATTTTATTCTTGGTTTCAAACTCGCTATCATACATACATCACCATACCCAAAAACAATGGGAAATAAAATTAAACTAGGGATACAGTTGAAACCCAACTTTACAGCTACATGCAATTGTATTGATTACAGTTACAGTTGTCAGGGGTTTGCAATTCTAAGGGCTTTCAGTTCTTTCAGCTCGATTGAAAAACGCCTAAAAACAAGAGATACGACTGTACTGCACGGTTCTTAAGGGCCATTAGCTTTTGGAAATATTGCCGTAAGACGCCGTTTGAAGCCAGTCGAGCCGTTTTATGGTCCCTAAAGAACCAGACCAGCCCGAGACATTGCTTATAAGATGAGCATTACGTTACCGTCTGTTTCTGATACTATATGGCAGCCTCGGAAGCCCTGTCAAAATTTCTAGACTTACCTTTTGCTTTCTCTCCTTTCCGCCCGCTTTTTTTATTTTTATGTCCCCGTTGTTTGCTGCGCATTCACTAGGCTTCATGTTGATGTGAAAAGTTTCCACTAAAATCTCGCAGATCGTGAAATTATCAGAAACGAAGTACGGGTGGTTTATAGCGGAACAAGAATTATATTCTAGTCAACTTTAGGTGTTTTTTGGCCTTTTCCTCCGGTCTGTTTGGACCATGTTCATTCGGGTATCACTCGAATGTCAACATCCCGCTCTAAACGTTAGGTGTCAAAGTTGTGTCCCGGCAGTGGAAAACTGATGACGTCACAAGTGGTACGTAAAGGCGGTTACGGGTGGTTCAGTTGTGATTGGGGTTAAAAAAATTCGTATGAGATTAAGCCAGAACGTTAACTCCCTCGTTTTGGCCTAAAAAGGGCTAATAACAAATGTCCTGCAATTTCAGGATTGTTGTATTTCGTGACTCACTGTTGAACCGACTCAGGTCGGTTGAATTAACTTGGCTTGTGTTTTGATGTTAATCAACGGATCTTTTTTCTACTTGTGGACTGCTAGAAGACTAGACACTCAAATAAACTTTACCGACCGTTACAGACTTATGTAAATTTTTAGTATAAAAGTGAAACGTTTAATCAAAAACGAATTTCTTCTCCGTAATAAAACTTTTTTCAGCAACTCTGCAGAGTGTCCAACTTGATTAACCACCATGTACAGGTTAACACACTTAGAACACCTCGGACAGGCTGCTTGATCTACAATAAAAAATTGTACATGAAATACAAATAATTTGAAGCCTTTAATGTCGTTAATTAGACGGGACGACCAAATAATAACACGTGAAAAGTTCATTCACCATTCTTCGCCGAGTTGAAACTGTAAGGATCGCCTCATTGAACGATAATACGTTATTCGGCGTGCAGATGACAAATTCCCACTCGTGCATAGTGTCAGTCAATGTTTTTGGAACGCCGAAACTGAACTGATGAGCGCAGGAGTTCGCCCATTGTGGGGACACATGATTAAGCCTCCCCAACAATGGCCGGTCATTTTCGTGAATAACGCGAGTTTGTCTTTCCTTTTAACAAAGAAATTTCTACAAAGCGTTGATTTATTTGTTGAGTCTGGAACAATTGGTGCGGTGACTCTCACCAAGCAAAACACGTGCATGTCTTTAATTGTTGCTTGTTTTATGCATAATTGCCTTTAACATTAAAGACGCGTCAATTGGGTTTGTGGCACGCTTCAGCGATGGGGACATAAACTTCTTTCTTGTGTTTTTACCTGTTGGACATCCTAAATGTACTTCGTTCCGCCAAGTTTTGCTCATCAACGACTTTTTCCAGATATGCGACAATTTTGTTAATCCTTGAATTAGCTCGTCAATGCCCTTGTTGACCTTTCACAACAGAGTCTTTTCATGTCAGGCAAGGGGCAAATTAAATTCAAATTTAGAAGACAATAATTTAGCACTTTTTCGGCTAAGAGGGCTGGGAGCCTTTGTCGTTTGCTATTGATTGGAGCTTAAAATTTCATTTGGACAAAGAGCACGGTTTCTGCAATTTTCAGTACGACACATGAGCCAGTCTGTCCGCCTGTTCAGCTCGGTGAAGTGCGCTAAGTGCTAGTTGTTGTACCACATAAGCCTGCAATTTTTTCGTTATCCGGCTAATTTGACTGGTATGCTATTTTTATCACTATAAATAATGTTATTTTTTCCCAAAATATACTTATCATGCTGTTGACAGATAATTTATCCCCAATAAAATGACGGAAATTCAATTAAAAAGTCGTTTGTAGTTTCTCTTAAGGCGTTTGGTTCATTTAATTGTTTTTGCTGTATCAGAGTTTATTTTACTGAAAGTTTAATACATTATGTTCGTAAAAGTTACTGTCACCTGATTCTAAAAAGCCTGCGGCTACGAGAATTATTTTTAGTTCTGTTTTCGTGATATTTTCCCTTTGCCTAAATCAGAAAAGGTAAGGTTTCGTCAGAATTGTTTTCGTAAGAATTAGAAAGATTATTGTCTGCACATCCTATAACATCTGATACTTTATAGTCTTAAATGGTGACATTTCTTATTCCTATTGATCTTAAAACTTAAGATCATTGGATTAGAAAATTGAAATTCAAGGTAAAAAGCAGGGCTTCACGAATCACTATTTTCTTATTTTCAGAGAGGCTTTCTCATTGCCAAATTTAGGCAAAGTATTAACTGAAGAAATAGACGCTTGTTCTTAAGAAATGTTTACAGGTTAATGTTGCAAGAATGGACGATGTTGTCACTCGTCTTCATTTACGTTCGCATCAGACGGCAGAATTATACAACTTAAGTAATGCCAGATGGCGTGATGTCTCCTTGCCTTGTAGCTTATCCCAACGCGTACGATAACTTTACGTTATAATAAATGTTTTTGATTGCACGAGAACAAAGAAATGCTCAGAGCCTGTATCTTTTCTCGAAAACCCCGATAAAGGGTCATTTGCTAATGTATTGTTACGTAGCGCGGAAAATCGCTGAAATACATCATGAACACAGACAATTATAAGCTCTATTAAATTACTTACCAGCTTAGTAATTGCAAAATCTCTGGTTGTTTTTCTCGTGGGAAATACTCTTATGCCGTGGCGCAGATTAGCTCGCAAATTAAGGCAACAATCGTCTCAACAAGGCCGACTTCATGAAGTCGTTTAAAAACAAAAGCACGGCTAGTTGCTCGTCACACCTTCACAGCTGACGAGCGCTTTCAAAGGAAAAGAAATTTTACACAACCTAAATGGGTTAAACATTTAAGTGGGTAAAGAGGGAGGAAAGTAGTTATGCTCTATTGCAATTATGTCACCTTTTGGTGGGAGAAAACACAGAAGAGGCGGTGTTGATACCGGCCTTGAAAAGTGTTTAAATCGCGCGGATCTACCGTAATTGAGTTATACTCAGTCATCGATGATTATTTAATGACTTGGGTTATGACAAAGTTATCCCTTTAGATTATTTGAAAAAGTCACTCAGTTTAACACATCACTTTTAAATATGTTCAATATGATCAATTAAAGGCGGCCATACAAATAATTGAGTTTTTGTTACAGAAGTCAATAAGACCGCAAAGCATTCTGAATGCCACGTGGTTGTCATGGTAGTGTAAAGTGGAGAACTCCTCGATTGTTTCGCTTTAATAGCGCGCTTTGGAAGTTCATGTTAGCGCCAGAATCTATTCTTGCCTATCTTTTTTTTTAAAAAAATCGATTTTTAACTGTCATGCTTAGATTTTTTCCTTGCATTCTTTGTTGAATGTTGGATGCTGGTGTGAACGGCTTCTAAATATCATTCATGAGAATGCCTTCAACCAGTATATTCTCAGGGGATCGCCTAGCACGCAGTAGGGTTAACTGACTGAATAATCATTCAAAGGGATGCCTCTGTCGTGAGAAAACTTGTCGCTTAATTATTAGTTTGGCTTTCCCACTGTGGTTGACGTATTAAGACTGAATATGTGCTGAGCATAGCTCATTGGACACTTCGCGAGACATGAAACAGTATCTTGGCCTTAACAACGCAGTAATTTACAACTTGCGATTACAAAGACAACTGTGTACAACTGTGTAATTCCTTGGACAAATAAATACCTATAAGAGCTAGTAAAATTTATTGTTCAATGATTATTTGTTCAGATGTTTTACTCGGCTGTTACAAAACACTTTTCCAGGCACAGTTTGGGCCTCTTAGACAGAGTAAAATAACCAATTTTAAGTACATTACTGTATTCGATTATTTCCTGGTATGTTTTCACTCGCAAACGAGGTAAAGTGACTGCTTTTTGTACACTACGTTTCCTAACACACAATTCTTCTCTTTGTTATTCTTCCATCTAGCAACGAACATAAGAACTTGAAGGTGTTTCTTGCTGTGCGTAATAGGTTTCTTTTTGTTTTTTACTTAAGTTGAAGCCAGGTCTGCATCTTACCCGACTGTTTAAAAAAACTCTTTGTTAAATGCAACTCGAAATCAAGTAAAAATGTCAATGAAAAAATATACTTTGACTTTTGAAGGGCACCCTGGTTCTCTCTTTGGACAACGATCCAGAATTTCTTCCATATATGTGAATCATGATTTGGTGGAATTACAACAGCAGGGAATATTTTATATGTTAAAATACTGTTCTGTTTTTCCTTACGACTTCGGAAATCAACTTCCACCGGGACTTAACCTGATGGAAGGATGATTTAATCATTAAACGTTATTTTTTCTTTTCATTTACACCTCTGTGCCTTAGCGTCGACTGTTTATCTCGTGCTTCTTAAAATTCCTCTTTTATTTTAAGTACGTGTGAAGTTAGTACTAATTTAATTAATTTCAAAAATAGTTAAAAAAAATAGCGATTAGTTTGTTTGTGTAATCTAAGCCTTGAAAGACTAAAAAACCTACAGAAAACTTCAGCTGCTGGGCGACTAAAAAAAAGATACAAGTTTTTGTCATTCAGCATTTGCCGTCCCAGTACGATGATATTTTAATCAAGAATAACTCTATAAATGAACAAATTGAAGCATTTTCCTAATAACCCCGACAGCAGTTCATTCTCATATTTATCCCACGCAGAAATTAATGGCCTTCGACAGTTCGCTCGGTGATCAGCCAAAAATTCGATAAGGGAAACTCAAATATCCTGTGTGCAAAATAAGCAAAGACTTAATTTGAACTTGTGCGCCTCACATACTTATTTTGTCAAAAACATTTAACGATGTCCTTCGCAGAATAGTTTCTAACGGGTATAAATTTTTCATTAACTCCTGTATTAACTAGAATTTATTTCCATTGCTTGGAGGCAAAGGCCGTAAATGACTTTTTAAAGGCCAGATAAAGTTAAATTAGATCCAAAATTACAATTTGATAGAAATTAAATTATATCTAACTAAACACTCGTAAAAAAATTAGTGTTGCTTGAGTTCACATAGGCAGTGAATATTATTCCATTAAAATTTAAAAGTTTTTCAAAACAGTTTCGTGTTCACTTTATATCTTCAGAGCAATGATTTGTTTCCAATTGATTTTTGATTCAGATGAGTTAGAGATAAGAAATTTTTTTGAAAACTGATTTTTAAGTACAGTACATAATTGAACTCAGTTGCTAAAATATTTTTTAATTTTCAGCAGGAGGCAGGTGGGATGAATGTCTGTTTTCAGTGGTATTGACAACAATTGTTGTCAATGCGTTATAGTTATTAACTTAAACCTTTGTCAATTTTTCTCCCAATTTGCCCCTAAGATCTTTCTTGATGGCCATGTATTTCCTTACAATGTTTGTTTTTTTCCCAAAATATTCAATACTATATATGTGTCAAGACTTTCTAAAACTTTTCTGTCCCCTCTAGCATTATACTAGGGTCAGTAACACAGTTCATTGCAAAATAATAGGAGGCGTGGCGGATTGAAAATACGAGAGTTCACCTCCGCTTGTAGACGGCGATGCTTATCATTCCAAGACCAAGACTGGGATTCGACACTAGAGCCACTCAATCAGAGACCCTGAGATCCGTGACGAAAAAAACCCTCCCAAAAATTGTTGAACCATAATATTTAGAGAACTGTTTGTGCCTGGTATAAAGAAAAGTCGTTTAACTTAACTTTGCCTTTAGATTACATAAATAGCGAAAAATGTTTTAAAGAGTATCTATTCATATTTTTACGGTTTGAAAACTATTTCAAGTTGTCCCACTAAATTATCCCTTCAAATGCATAAATTATTCAGTTTTTAAGTTTCAAAAGTCTTTATTTATCTTTAGCAAACGTGTTCATCCGAAGCATATTTACAATCTTTTATACTTTTTCTTCAAGTTGGCAGGCTATGATTTAACTTCAAATTTATGTACAGTCAAAACTTTGAAACTCAGTCATTCAGCAAAGGTTATTTTTCTCTGCTTATTTTCTTTTAAGTCTCATTATTACACTTGTTTGTGCGCATTAATTGACAAGCTGCCTTGAATGCCTTGAAGTGCTTTAAGTTTATTCCATCGGGTTCAATTCCAAGTTATTTTCAACCAGTTGCACGGTTTAAAATATTACCTGTTTATTACAAATTGAGCTTTGTTATATATCGATAACTCATGTCTTTTGACTAACCATTTATCCAGAGACAAGGAAAACATGGAGAAATGTAACGAATGCAAACAGCGGATAAATATCAATTAAGAGTTGTTCATGCCTTCATTCCTTAGGTTTCGTAGAAGAACCTTAAAGCTAAGAATATGACATGAACCCTTTTTTTGTCTTTTTCAGAAACCTATCATTTCAAAGAAGAACTTCTATATTGCGCCATTATTTCTTTGTTTCCCGAGGAGGGCGATCGCGTATGATAAAAATCGCACGGTTTAGAAAAAGAGAGAAATACACTCTCAAGTATTTGATTTCCCAGATAAAAACTGTCAATGTCATTGATGAGGAATATGAAAATGTCTTTCATAAAATCACCCCAAATGGTCACTTTCGTCTTTCTGCACTTGGCCACTACTCAAACCATGGCATTCACTCAGACTTAATCCACCCGACGAACTTTTCCCTTGTGAAGACGCCTTCTCTTCGGCTTGTTGTCTCTTCCACTTCGTCCTTCTATTTTGGAACCAAACTTTAATTTGCGTCTCAGAAAGGTTTAGAAACGATGCCAGTTGTTTGCGTTCAGTTCCCACGATGTAGTGATTTTTATCGAAGGCGTTTTCCAAGTGAAGAAGCTGTGTTGGTGTGAAAGCAGTTCGGATTCGTTTAGGTCTGCGACATGCCACAAAACCTTTCGAAAAAAGACAGCAATTGTAAGAAATTGGTTTACCTAAAAAACCTCTACAAAGAATCCGTCTAAAACTCAGCTCACATTTACCAAAAACACTTTTTGAGACAAAGAAGAGATTTGTGTTTCTAATTGGCGCAGTTATTTTTGGGCTTCCTGACAGAGTAAATTGGTGATTTTCATCGAGAGAAAGTGGTGGAAAATTCTCATTACTAAGTTAAATGCACTATACTCTGTAGGAAAATGAACCCTTATGCGTATCATCGGAGGATATCACTTTTAATTAATTTTAGTCAGAATTTTAAAAGTTTGCAGTTTTTCAAAATGTCTTGCCTAGAGGAGAAAGATAAAAATTCATGATGAAATTTGACGAAAGCCTGAAGGACATAAAGGGTATAACATGCGGGCAAAAAAATAATACTCTTGAAATCAAAGATTTTGGTTTGATTATGGGTTTCTTATCTAAGGAATTCAGATTAAGCGCTAGAGAAAAGTAGAATAGCTGTGAATTGGCCTCACCACTGTGTAAAGTACCGGCAGTGTAGCTGCAGTTCAAATCGTGCACGTAGCGATGACTTGAGGCACAAGGATAGAATGAAAACGATCCCGAGTTGTAGGCGGACAAACTGTGAAGAGGATGAGTGTCAAATCTCACGGCCATGGGGTAATCTGTTTGAGGTTTGTAGCTTGTATAGCTTTGGTTGTTGGTTGGTTGAAGAGCTGAGTTTGGTCTGTACATGGAGTTGAGAAATGATGATTGCGACCCTTCATATGCGTGCATTTTTGGCAGACTAGTTTTGGGCTGTGGTCGGAGTGATCTTCTCTTTCGAGCTCAAGCAAACAGTGACTACTTTTTTACAAGCAATCCAATTATATAGCGTACAATTTAATTATTATAACAATGCATTGTTCCCATTTTCAATTAATGACTTGGAACTAATTAAGAGAATAAGCGGCCAAAAATTAAAAACAAGCTGCCGGATGCCTCATAGTTATGAAAACTGGGAAATTTGGAAATTAGCTACGAGGTAAATCGTCCACTGAGAAATCAATAAACACTACTCAACAATTTGAAGCCGAGCAATCATCTTGATCAACAACCGAGTTGAACGAGTCATTTGTGATTTTACTTTTATTGACGTCCAAACTTTATTAAGCCAATGATCGCCTCAAACAGCTGATGAAAATTTTAAACAGGGAGAAAATACTATTTTCATTGATATCAAATATAAACATGACAAGCAAATTCGGATGTGTTGTTTCGCGCAAATTCTTCGCTCAATAAAGTAAGACACGAGACAAGTTAATGAAGGTAGTCTCAAATTAACTTCCAGTTAAGATATGATGCGTCCGGGTTATGCAGTGTGAAACGATAATAAAGGTGTCAAATAATTATAAAAGTCCAAAAAGCGCAGGATTTTAAGGGTAAAAGCTACAAATGGTGATTATAAAAAAGAACGTAAAAGTCATCAGATATTCGTTCATCGATCTTTGTTTCATAAGCTTTCAAACCCTGAGCGGTGTTTTTTTCAATAAAAACCACCATATGGTAAACTGAAAATAGCTTCATTACATTTTAATAATTTCCCGTCGAATCTGTTTTAAAATCCACTAAATAATGAATTTCACTTAAGCACTGAAGTTTAGGGAATTAACACAGAAATATAGCTTCGCCGCGCGACTTAATTGTAGCTTTCAAGACTGCAGTATTCTGTCATACCGATATGTTAAGAGATTGCGTTTTGGTTACTTCGTAGTCTTAACTTATTAGCGCTCTACAAAAGACTAGCTTTGTTTATTTGAACAAAGATGGCCCGTGTTTTATAAAGAAAGGCATTCGGTGTTCACAGTTCATTTATTTAAGCTAAGTAAATTTCAATTAGGAAATATCCGGTAGCTTTTTGATACTTTCTCTTCACAAAGTGAAAGTGTTAGCGAACTATCGTTTCTTTTAATTTTGTTATTAACATAACCTTCAGTCCTTTTCTATGGACATATTTTGTGTGGGCAGTCTTTCTTAAGCAAGTATTTCTTTCCCCAAAATATTTTCTTTGTAATATTATTTCAATGCCAAAAAAGGGAAAAAAAGATGTGATTTAATAATCTCGTGAACAATTCTTTAAAGTAGCTGACTCGAATTGCTCTTAGTTTTTGTTCACGGTAAAAAATAAACTTTATCCGCAATCGAATGCTTTCTAGGTCAGTTATAAGTGGCTTGAAATAATTCCTTTTTTTTTTGCACTTTTCCTTTCTTACGCTGTTCAAACTTTAATGAGATCTAAAAACATTTTTCAAACCCTTAAAAGCAAATCTGAAATGATACTTTAATGCCGAAGTGATTATTATTTTTGTTTATTTCACTCGCTTACAGTGTGAGAAAACCTCTACTTAAATCCATGGGTTAATCGACTTCTTTGCCTTAAAGTTGCGGTAATTTCATGTTATTACATGACCGGTCTATATGGATATTATCACACGCGCTATACTAGCTGTTTTGTCTCCATAAACATAGAATATGAATGAGGCCATAAGCGCAGCTTTACGGTAAAATTATCGCACTAAAGTTTGGTCAAATTAAGGAAGATGACCCACTACTGCGATTGAAAAGACGCGATTGAGTTGTTTTACAATGGTGAAAAATAAAACAGGTCTAGGGGGTATACGAACTCCTACCTGCATGAAAAAAATGCTGCTTTTTAAGTTATTATTTTTAAATTAATTCCTGTGTAAAAGAACATAAAAATGAAACGGCTGATGTGTAAAACTCCTATCCCTTCCTCTTGGACGATACAACGAAGAGTCGGTAAAAATGTTTTGCTTCTGCCTTCTCTGAGGTGAAATACTTTTGTAAAAATTGGGTGTTTTTTCTCAGTTTTTGTTTCACACAGGTGATTTAGAATTGCTTCCAATCAATCTTGTTACGTAATATCATATAACTGAAGTCTTTTTTCTTCTTTGTCGAGAATCAGCGACATTATCTTTCGTTCTTTTTTTCACATAAAAGATTTATGATATATTGTAATTGAGTTAAGTACGCGCTTCCGTGCTCTAAAGGTTTTGCAGATTTCCATTTTCTCTTCATGGGAAAACAACATCTGCCCTTCGCAGTTCCGCAAACATGCGTCCGTACATTTTTCATAAACTTGTTTATACAAAATGCAAACATGAGCCAAACAACGCCATTTAGCTCACTATCACGGGCAAAAGAGATTTGAAGTTTCTTAAACCCGAATAAAAGAAGGATTACTTTTTTGACGACTCAATCTGACTGTCGTTAAACAGGCCAACACCTTTATTTTCCATCAACCCTTGAGTTTACTTTATTTGCGAGGCTATAAAGATTCAAAATTTTAATCGATTAGATGTGCATAAAGCAATAAAACCTGTTTCACTGCTATCTAAACTTTTATGGGGTCAAAAGAAAGTAGTGTAGGATTTTGAAATCATCCAGATGCAGAAAATTAGACCCAGACAATAGATAAGATCGAAAAGACACAAACTGTGTCCTAAAAAAATTTTCACTGCCTCATCTGCTACTCTATGTATCAGTAAATCATAGATTACTAAACTGAATTTGAAAGAAGCAAAAAAGTTTGGCATTATGTCCTTAAGATTAATCAATATCTCAAATGTCCTCACAACCAAGCCCAGTTTACAAGCATGGAACAGGTGACAGTGTCAATTCCTTCTGATTTAACACTATATAGTAACATTTCAGTAACGAGAAACTGTTATTCAGGAGAATAAACATTTTGATCTGGGTGATGACAAGTTTAAAATGACATTCAAGAACAAAACCATGCATCATTCGCAAGATCTTTTTAATGACAAGATTGGCGTCAGTCAAAATTCAAACGTGTACAAATGTGGAAACAATCTTATTAGCTAACCCCCGGATGTAAGCATTCGCGTCCTCTCATTGGCTAACCAATACTAGTCACTTATAATGGCAAATACTAAGAGCTTGCTTACTGCACACTGGATCCAAAGCAAATGATACTTTGATTTGAATTGACTTCGCTTTAAGTCATGCCCCTTAAACCGTAGAAAATCTTTCCAACTTTTTTAATAGACCTTTGCCACGCGGCGACCATTTTGTCTCAGGAGATTTAAAAAGATTTGTTTATGTACGGCTAGCCTCCTAGAGTATTGGGGGTTAAAAAAAAAGATGAAGAAACTTGTCCCTTGTATGATCAAGGAATAATGTGCACTTTCGCTCACGTAAGTGGACTTTGCATGTGGTCGGTCCGTCATTTAGTTGAAAACTGAAAAACAGTTGACTCAACAGTGTTATTTCAATAGAAAAAAAAGGAAAAAAAGAGAATAAAGAGACGATGTCTGTTCGCATTGATACTGAGTACAGAATCATTTAAACACATTCAGTTGAATTATGAACTGTCTTTCTTTCAAGGATATTTTTATTACTAAATGTACTCTTCGTAAACTAAATTGTATGAAGAACCTGTGTCGAGAGCGTTTCAACCAGTACCTTTCGCCCAATATTACTATAATATATGTTAGATGATTGGTCCTGTTGCTAAAATCTGTATCCCCCTTTTGCCGTTTTGCTCTTTTTTCGCTAGAAGTTCTCTGCACGTGACAGTGTATTGAGAATGGGCCAAAATTTCTTAGCAAAAGGGGGATGATGGTTGTATTGGTAAAGCCAGGGAGAGTTTTAGTGAAATACGTTAAAAATCGTACGATATTATAACTAGATATTAATAGCAAATAAAACATATACTTAATTTTATACTGATATTCTCCAAAGACTGTAAATGAAAATTCGAGATTCAAATGGCAGAAATGAGCACCTTTTCCATTGAAAGAATAACACTATGTGGTTTCAAAGCTCGATCAGCCTCTGTTCTTAACAACTATTTATTCTTTCTCCTATCACGGACGTCATTGTGTTTTATTTTGGACACCCTTGTTCCCTTTGGAGAGCTTTTTTTTGAAATTTAATTCTGCTTTTTTCATTTTATTCCATTCAAAGGATCCGAAATTCTCTCCCTTTAAAAATGAACTCAAAGTATAGGTAATCATATACATTACTTAGCTATTTAAAAGTTGCTTGAATGATCGTTAACTCCAGACTTACAACTTCCCATAATCAATACCTCACGAAAAAAGTTTTGTTTTTTAATTACATTTTTTTTTTCTGTTCATAAATAATGAACTATTTAAGTAACAGCGGGGCTTCTGGTAACATGTAAAATGTGGTCCATTAAAATGTTGTTAAGTGTAAAAAGCATTTAACTCATCAACCACTCCTTTTTACTTTGCAACAAACGCAAATGCTGCTGTTTTGTGAAATTTCTATGCTCCTAAAGTTACAATAATATTGTCTAGAAATTTCTCATTCAATTTTCATTTCACTTTGAGAGCTCAAGGAGATTTATCTGGTTCATCTCATAAATATCTTTCTCTGTATTTCTTAAACAATAAAATGATACATGCTTCAAATGATAAATCATATGAATCAACTTGTACCGGCTGGAAAGTATTTGTTTTGCGAAAAATGGAAAAATTATCGTGAATACAGCATCGAAGAAATAAAATGCCTCGAATAGATGTGAATTAGCCCTCAGGCATGAAATACACAGTTTTAGCGAAAAGTAGGAACTTATGAAAATAAATATATCTGTCACAGTTTCATATATTCATGCGTGTATTTCTTTTAAAAAAAATATTAAATGACTACTTTTTTTCTACCAGACATTTATCCCCTTACTTTTTCCTATAGTCATGAAGCTTCTTTCTCTTTACAGTTAAATTCATCTCTGTTCAGCGATTTAGACCTCTAGTGTTTTCTCGATAATGCAAACACGTGAAAACATCGGGGATATTAAAATGTCATTGTCTAATTCAGTACGCCGTTTGAATAAGACTCTTTGTTCAAGAGCTAGTTATTGTTTGCAAACGGCGTGAATAAGTCTCGCTCAATTGAGCAAAGTGATTCTTATTTGCCCGCTTTTTAGATGCCTTTTATTGGTTCTCGAATTTTAACGCATCCCTAAGTATTGAATTTTATTTGCTCTGCGCCCGGAATACCTTAATTCGAGCCCGGACTGTAACGCGGATTAGTAATCGCGGTACCAACTCTATCATTTAAAGGCACGTTTACTTTCACCATTTACTTGTGAAAATTACAAGATTACAGGGTTTGTCTCCACAAAGTTGGCGAGTGCATTGTTTCAATAATGGGAAAGCATTTGGTGTTATTTAAAGTTTGATTGTTTTATTGGTACAAAAAGGAAACCTGGCTCCCACGGGAAACTATTTGCTAAATTATAGCTGTATGTGAAAGAACTGGAAAGAAGGGAAGTGGTAGAAAAAGGAGGAAATGAGGAGCAACATAGTGCACTTTTTCACGTAAGCGTTATTTTGTCTGTACTTTATTTTGGGATAGGTTTTGAGAAAACAGTTATTCTGTGAAGGTACCTTTTCGAAAAACTGTAAATGCTGGGTGTGGTCAACCCAGTTCGAGTTAGAGGAACTAGAGGAGTTTGAATTGTTCACTTCGCAGCCGACTCATTTAAGCTAGATTAGCTGAGTTAAAGGCGATTTTACCGTCACCTTTAGCCCAAAAAGGGGTGTTGCCTAGGAGCTGAATTTGAATGATCACACATAAGAGTTTCAGCTCGGACGCTCTGCATAAACTGAGGCAAGAGATGCTGGACTCCTCCCATGGACTTCACAATTATAGGTTTCATTAAAATTTCTGTCTGGCTCATCTAATAAAATGTTGTGGCTCGCGTCTTTAGGCCTCGCTTTCAGGCTCTATTTTTATACACTAGGTTCCCCCACAAGTTATTTCTTTTTCAATGCTCTTGGAAATATACGCAGTATAAAGTATTAGTGAGCAACGATCATTGCACAGATATCGACAGAGACCTCATTTTTAAAATTCTGACAAATCCTGCCAGAGTTAAACTCATATTCCCCTATATTAAATCTTCTATTTCTGGAAAGTTAGCCAGCGGCAATTCCATGGTAGACAAAGACGATAAGGTTGGGAATAAAGCTAAATATAGGAAAGAAAGGAAAAGGAAATAAAGATGGCAAAAAAGAAGGGTCGAAAAAGTCCCGAGATTTTGGCTTATGCGTATGCGCGAAAAACAAACTTTAGACCAGTTTCAAGGCTGAAGTGTAATGCTGGTTTTCATTGTCACGCTATAAAAAAGAAATATCAAAACCGTTCAATAGATAGAGTTCAGAATCTGGGAACTAAAGGAGATTAATATCCTATCATATATTCAGTGATATTCAGAGAAATGATTTATTCAAATCAAGGGGTATTATTCTCTCTTGCTCAAATGTATAGGGCTATGTATGGAGACGCCAAGTTGGTGCCCATTTGGACGGGCACCAAAATGGCGGCCGAAAACCAATAGAAACATCTGTCACTAAATTTTGCTACAAGCGTGAATTCATCTCTCGAGGAACTCAGAAACATTAAAGTAATACATTTTTTAATACAATAATTTTTCATATCGCAAAACCCCCCAAAGAAGTGACTTTTCTTAAACAACCTGACAGCTCTCTCTGCCGCCACGTAAATGCCGCGTCACGCAAAAGCTTTTGAAGTGGAAGCAAATATGAAATTAAAAAAACTCTTTTGAAGTGAAAATTTGTCTGAATGTTAGGTTCTTGGCTGCTCTAATACTTCGTGGAAGTAAAACTCAGGAGGATCGATAATAGCCCACGTTCGATACATGACTCCGAGGCTTTCTGGTTATCTTTCTTTATTTGGTTTGGTTTTCTTTGTGCTCAAGCCTCCTCTGGGAATTGCGAGACGATGGAGTCGTAAAAAATTTGCAATAAAGCCTCGGAGTCATGTTAGAATTTTAGTATATCGAAGGCTATTGTTTGAATTTTTGATGACGTCATGGGAAAACCAGCACCCCCAAAAAATCGCAAAGAGATTCAGGGATAGAAAGTTATTACTATTTTTTAAATTCTATACACCTCGTTCCCAAAAGCCCAGTATGAATTTTTACCTCTATACTGGCCTATTACATGCAATTAACGGAAAATATGCATGAAAATATTTCAATTGTTCAGCCATTCCGATGCTCGTAGGCAGAAAACCGGTCCAAAAATACTTCGGGATGCCGCGCCCGCTCCCGCGCCCGCGCCCGCGCCCGTGCCCACCCGCGCTCCCTCACGCACGCTTTTCTTATTGTTGTGCAATTTGCATAATTATGTGATATTGAGGCCTGCCGAGTCACGCTTGTAATACAAGTTCGTCTATCTTCGTGGGTTAAAACCAAATTATATCTCACTTTCAAGGCATAGAGGTACGTTCACTTCCTTCTCAAAGTATCTTTAAAACTATTCATGCTATCTTATGAAGCGTTCCTCTTATTTTACTGATTTGCGTGTGAGGCAATGATTTAGAATGATTGTGTTTAATATGTACATTGTTGTCCATGATCGGTAATCTAAATCACAAATGTGCTGCGCCTCTTTTCGAAGTTTGAGGTTATTTGTCTTGGAACAATATTAGGCCCCCGGTTAACAATAGCGCCTAGTAAGTAAATATCGTTTTTACACCTGAACAAGCTAGATTTCTTATACCTTGATGAACATCCTGAACATCGATGTTTTAAGAAATTTGATACATTCAGTCTACTCTTTTATAAAGTATTATTGAACGTTTGGAGGGCCGTTGTATTATTGTTGCCACAACACAATATTTAAAGCCTGTTATACGGCAGTTTGAAAATTTCAATTGTTTTCTACGATTTGCATGGGAAGCGAAAACGAACAGCCGTTCGACTCGTCACGCAACTCTCCTGCGTGACGACACAAAGAGGATGCTACTAAAAGGAGGAACGAGGAACGGGGAACGGGGAACAGCGAACGAGAAAATGAAAAATGGGAAATAACCTAACTTGAACCCCAGCCCTATCAGTAACTTCATTTCCAATTCTCTGTTTTGTTCCCATATTTCATTATCCGATTTTCCGTACTCATTCCTCATTTTAGGGCAATTTAGTGACATCACAGTGAGAGATCGACTATTCTCTGTTTTCACCGTCATGTCATGGAGAATAAAAAAAGTTTAAACCATTCAATACGGAGAGTCCAGAATGTGATAAATGAAAGAAGATAAATACACAAAAAACCTCGCCAGATATCAGGTTTGTGCCGTATTTCATATCCCAGATATTCGGGAAAATGTTTTACCCAAATTTACCAAGTTTTGTATGGAGACGCCATGTAATTGTTGGTGTCCCTTTGAGGGGTACCAATATGGCGGCCGGAAACCAATAGAAACATCTATCTTTGAGTTTTCCTCCAAGCGTGAATACATCACTTTCAGAACTCATAGAGATTAAAGTAATTTCTATTCTGAGACAATGAATATTTAGACAGCAAAATCTCGCAAAATCGGTAACGTTTTAAACTCACATAAGAGCTATCCCGGCCTCCAGCTAAATGCCGCGTCACGCAAAAGCCTGGAAATTCAAGCGTCCTCTATTGCAAAACGAAGAACCCTTTCGAACCAAAGATTTCTATTAATAAAGGTGTTTAGCTGCTGTAATATGAAAGTAAAAGCTCAGAAGAATTGATAATTCCTTAGTTAGATTTTTGGTGACGTCATGATAAAACCGAGAATAAGTTGTGAGTGGGTAGAAGAGCTGTTCCCTTACAAATTCTACTAACTTTATCAGCTGTAGTAACCTTTGAGATATAAGCCTTAAAATATACTCGTTAGCTAATGCATATTCCCTTTCAATTCCTGCTGAAATTATTTCAGATACAAATTTTGTCTTTATTTTTTTTATACAAAACGTTGATCACGTGATCAACTGAGGCAAATGCGTATCAAATTATATGGTATACGTAGGGAAAAACTAGAGGCGGGAAAGCCCAAGACATCTGCCAAGAGAAAGCACTGGGATTTCAATTGACAAGTTCCCAAATATCTATCAAAATGGTTAACTTAAATAAAAAGAAATTTAAGTCAATGGTAGAGCAGCAGAGGTTCCCCCGGCCTGGCAATGGTATACAGTAAAAACTTGTGACTAAGAACCTGGTTTTTAAGGCTAAATTTTGCCAGTTAGGCGCCCTCTATACAAGACTCTGTTTAGCCTAACATTTGAAACAGGTTCTTATTTTCTAATATCCGTAAAAAATTCTGAACATGCAATTGGGCAAATAAGTCAACTTAAGTCATCTATAAAGTCAAATAGGTCATCTTTCATAGGCCTTTCCCGATTGTGCTCTTAAAATACTTGAAAGTTGCTCACTGGAATGCCAAAAAGTTGCTACCTAAATTTCAAAAGTTGCCAGCTAAATTTCTTGATATATTTTTTTTTATATAAACGTTAATTAAAAGCTTTATTTTCATTCTTCACAATAATTACTAACATCTGTCAAGAAAAATAGCAGGAAACTTAGCTATTTTTAATTAAAAAAAAAAAAAAAATAAAAATTAACAAAACTAAAAAAAAATTTAAAAAAATTGATAAACATTGAAAAAATTCGCTTGAATTTGAAGCTTTCTATGAAATCGTTGACTATTTCATGCTTGATATGTGCTCTAAACCTATATTTTGCTCAAAAGTTGCTCAGAAAGGCAAAATTTGTTCGAGGTTGCTAGAACCGCAAAAAGTTGCTCTAGACGCCAAAAGTTGCCGAGCACAATCGGGAAAGGCCTAATCTTGTATGACATTCAAGATCCTCTTTGGAAGAGAAATAGGTGCCTTTAATATCACTCCAACTGCAATGAAATGGTGTGCAGATTTTGTATGAGGAACAACCTGAATACCACTAACTGCCTTTCGCTACACTGTATTTTTCCCCTAGAAAACATGAACCTATATAAGAACCTTAATAGCCTAAATTTGTGCTTAATATCATTTATGTAAGAACCTGTTTAGGCTAACTTGGAAAATGTGGTTTCTTAGTCGAGGGTTTTATCACACTTTTCTCTTTATCTTGATACAGGACAATGGATGGCCTTGAAATAGATTCTAACTCACGTTTAGTAAAACCTTTGCCCACTGCCTTCATAACAGCTGGAGTTGTTGTGCTATTGTTCATCTGGTGGCAAGAAGCATGCAATTGTGCCCTTCGCAAGAAAATCAACGCTCCTAGCCCCAAGGGTTGGCCCATAATTGGCAATATGCTTGATGCGAGAAAACTTGATGGAGTACACCTTTTGTTGTGTAACTACATTAAAAATCATGGCAAAGTGTTTTCTTTTAGTATGTTTGGAAAGCCAAGTCTTGTTATTGCTGATCCTGACATCCTGAAGAAGATTCTGGTGAAAGATTTCTGGAACTTCCGAAATCGCTTCGCGGTAATTAAGCCTAAAGGGGCAATTGCCAAAAGCGTTTTTCTTGAACGCGATGAAGCTTGGAGGCGCATCCGCGCCACGCTTACCCCGTCGTTCAGCGCAAAGAAAATGAAAGGGATGGTATCCCTGATCGAAGATTCGTTTGAGAGATTGATGCAAAAATTAGAAGGCGTTGTCAATACAGGTAAGTGGGGTCATTATTTGAACTGAACTTGTTCTAAATGGCCTTTTTTCTGCATTGTTGCATTCACATCCAGTTAAAGGCAAGTTCATAAATCATGAGACTTCGAACGAACAGATTGCCGTCCACGCTTCAAATTTAATTTTCAATAAAATTGTGACAAATCTGTTTAACTTCAATTTAGTTGGAAATCTTAGAAAAGTGTTTAAATTTAAAGAAAACGCTAGTAAGGGATACTTTCTCGTAAAATGCGCTCAATTTAAATCTTATTCCACCCCCCTTACTACTTCCTCTACGATTCATAACAGTTTTTTAGAACAGGGAGCCCAAGTCGTCTGAAAATGTTTAAGAAATTATAGGTTGACTTTTCATATGTTAAGTAACCGCTTTAATATAAAACTTCTATCGCGCACAAATATCTGCATCAAAGAACTGTAATTTTGTCAGTCAACTTAGTTGACGCAACTCAACGTGGTGTTGGCTCTTATCCATCCGTTTAAGCTACAGGCCATTCTAACCAATACTTTCGAGCAGTCATTTTAACTTTGTGTTTGCATTTTAGGCGAATCTGTAGACATGTTAGACTGCTTCAGTAGAATGACGCTGGAAGTTATACTCTCCACCGCGTTTGGTGTCGAAACTGACATTCAAAACGACAAAGAAAGCCTGTTATTTAAAAAGGTGAAGGAGGTTTTTCGCACTCCTTGGATAATGGACATTTTAAGACGGTTTCCTTTTGGAATATATCTTATAAGGATTCTGGCACAAATCATGCGCACTCCAAGGTACTTTGAAAAGGTCGCCTCAGAGATCTTACAGCAAAGGAGAAAAACTGGGCCAACAGGAAGACAAGATTTGATGCATTTGATGCTGACAGCGAACGAGGATTCAACTGAAAAGGGATTATCCAAACTCACCGATGAAGAGATAATTGGCCAGTGTCAGATCTTTCTTTTCGCAGGTTACGAAACTTCGAGCAATACTTTGGCCTATATCACCTACCAGCTGGCCCTGAACCAGAATGTACAGGACAAATTAAGAGAGGAGATCAAGGAAGGAGTCAAGAGAAACCCTGAAAGCTCTCTGTACGACCTTTCTCATGACATTGAGTATCTGGATTGTGTTATAAATGAGTCACTGCGACTAAATCCACCTTTGGCTCAGGTTAACCGTGAATGTGTCAGCGACTACAAGTTTAATGACATATTTATCCCCGCAGGACTACAAGTCATCATTCCTGTGTATTTTCTACATCGTGACCCTGATGTCTGGCCCAACCCAGAAAAATTTGATCCCGAGAGATTTCGAAGCCCCGCCAAAGACGGTCGTCACCCATACCAATTCTTGCCATTCGGTTTAGGGCCAAGGTCCTGCATTGGGATGAGATTCGCTCTAATGGAGATCAAGATTGCTTTGGTGAAATTCTTGATGAAGTACAAGTTTGTACGTTCACCTGAGACACAGGTACCTTTGGAAATTCTTGCTGGTGTCACTCTGATCCCGAAATATGGAGTCCACGTCAGAATAGAAAGGGTTTAGAACTCTTTGCTTCGGCTTTCTTATTCTTTTTTTTGTGTTTGGTGTGGCTATCTCCGTTTGATTAGCTGCTACCATCAGTTTTCTAAACTTTGGGACCTGATGTTGGTAGCTGATATACTCGAACCAGGAAAAAACATTTTTTAAACTAGGATTAAAGAATAACACTACCTGTTTGCGAGAAAAAAACAAGAAAATGGTTTGTTGTCATCAAAATGTAAAACTAAAGTACAATTAAGGTTAAATTTGAGACGAATAATTAGATGAATTAAGTTACAAACGCTTCAATAAATTTCGTTATGTATTTCTAAAGTAGACTAAGGTCGTGGTAACAATAATGCCAATTGTGCATCCTTATTGCTTTAAATGGAACTTTATAAATTACCTTGTAAATGGTAAATTAAAATAACAACATCGTGTCAGACAAATATGTCTCTCAAGTACTATTTCAAAAGTTAACAAAAAATCAAAAATTGAACTTTTACGTTAACGAGTTTTCAAAAAGCATAAGCAAAAGTTTGTCCATCCATGCTTCCTTTTGTATTTGCTGTGGTAGTTATCCCTTCTGTTCATGTTTTGATCAGTTATTTTTATGTTTCACTCAGTTTTGTGGTGGTTCTTTAACGGTTTGAAATGTCATTTAACACTGATATTCCACAACTTGGGTCCCAGAAATTTGAAAGAGTTTTCCCATGAGGAGTAGCATTTTCAACCTCGAAGTAAATGCAACTTGTTGGTGCCTCTCAGTATAAAGTGGAGTAAAGCAATTTTTGTAGTTCTGATCTATTAACCGTCTAGTTTGCGATGTGCTGTGTAACTAAGTGTAATTATTTTAAATCCCGTTTGTGGGATGAACATCAACTTGTTGGATTGTTGCTGAAAACGTAGCACTATTTGTGAACTGCCTAATTTCAGCTTTCATAAACTCGTTTGTGTTTTGCTCTGGACGAAGCAGGATGACCAATAGTTTTGGCACGAAAACGCACAAAAGAATTCCATATGCGGTGACGATGGCAGTGGCACAGGCCACAATGGTTGTGTAAAAACCTTCCAGGGACGTGTCCACCGGGTAAAATGACAACCAGGAAATCAGGAGCACGTACATCGCCGACCCAATGTATCTCGTTTCGTTGAAGTTCTCTGGAAGTCGCCTGGCTTTAAAGGCGTAACCAGCGCATACTAGAGACAGCAAAATGAAATAGCTAAACATGGTTGCCCTAAGGACACTTCCGATAGCTGATCTGAATGGCATACAGGTGTGAAACACATGTGTCTGTACTCGTATCTCCTGGTGCTCGTAAGGTGGATCAAGAGTTAGCCACAACACTGCCAGAATAACTTCAACTATGTTGAGTCCCAAGACCACAAGAAATTGACGTTTGCGATCCACGATGTATCGCTTGAACCAGTTTGGAATGATGTTGGTCTGAAAAGCGCGCACCAAACGGTTTGTCTTCAAGAAGAGGATGGAAACAAAGTTCGTATCAGTAAAGTACCTTAGGGGATAAATAATACAACATAACGTCTTTGTGGGCTGAGCAAGATGGAGCAAGGTGAGAACAAAACACAACGCGATTGCGACAAGCAAAAGAAGGCTAAATTCGCGATTGGATACCCTCACTAATGGTGTACTCTGGTTCTTCACAAAAACAAAGATGGCCATGCCTGTTGCAAGCAATCCAAAAACCGTTAGGATCAAAAATATCACGGCAGTAACATCTGACCACTTGATGTTGATAACTGGCAAAGGCAAGCATGCTGTACCGTCGACGTTTGATTTATGTAGTTGTGGGCACTTCGTACAGTTGGGAGAGCTATGCTGTTTACTGATGGAGCCCAAAGGACACTTAATGCATTCCCAGCAACAGGACACAGTGATCGTCTGCTTAGTTCCCGGAGGACAGCGGTGACTGCACGTGGATATGGGAGGCTCACTTTCTTCATTAGTCCATTTTATTTGTTTGTCGTTGATTGTGAGGTTGATACGAGCTCCCCCTTTCCATGTCCCCACCTTAACATTTTCATAATTCTCCGCCTGTCTCTGAAAGTTCACGATATCGTACGACGAAAAAGTGGGATCACCACTTTCGGTGAACTGCACTTGCCCTGTTATGCCTTGAAAGCTCACTTTCTTGAGTTTCAGAAGCATGGCTTCGGGTGTGATGTTGGCATTTTGCTCAGGACAGTACCCACTCGCTAAAGGTCCGCCTCCGGGCTCTCTGCACTTCAGTAAAGAGTCCAGCGCGTGTGCAAGGGCATAGACGGCGTCTGTCAGATAAGGAATGAACACGTTGTGCAGTTTGGCGAAGGCTCGATCGTCTATTTTGGCCGGGTTAAGGCAAGCACCTTCAGACATTGAGGTGCAGTTTAGATGACTTGTCCAAAACTCCTTCCACCACGGATTGGCGCTTTCTCGGGTCTTACTTAGTGTGATTCCCTTAAGGTAATCTTCAAACAGATGGTCTGTGAATAGATAAGGCCTTATTCCTATTGCTCCCTTTAGTATGTTAGCATTTTTTCCAAAACGTCTGGATTGATTAAGGTTATTGCTTCACTAATGAGAAATGTTCGTCCTTCAAGCTTCTGCGCAGATGCTTCTTCCAGAAATCTTTTTGCAGGTTCATGGTTGCTCCATAAGATGACCACTTTAATGTTTTCAGCGTCTTTGAGTTTTCTCACGATTGATGTTATTTTTCCTTTGTATCCCGAAGGCGTGATGTACTCCGAAAACGCGATGCAGAATGTCTTTCGGTCATAAGCTTCTCGTTCCAACGCGCGTAAGCCGTATCGTCCGTAGGAATGGCCAATGGCTACGGCTGCAATATACGTCCACTGATAATACTCTATTATGTCAACCATGGCTTTAGCTTGTTTGCCATCCGGTGGAATGGTGCGAAAAAAGGAGTTAAAATACGGTGAGCTCAACTCTTCGCTGGTAGCGAAAGGACTTATAGTTGGAATGTCAGCCACATTCAGTAAACTCGAGACGAAAGTTGTGCTACTTGAATCTTCAGTGCCAATAACCGCAAAAATCGGAGCCGTTAGATTATCCATATTTTTTGTAAGCTTTGACTTACAGTTATCACCTTGTCCTTCAAGCAGTTCGTTTAGATAATTACTTTTCACAAAGTTATTGGTTTTTTTCATGGCGAGAACAGGTGTGTCGCAGTAGTCTCGAATGTCGAAGCCCAGTGTCACATTAATTGGTAGAAGCTGAGTATCCTTGTTAATACGCTCGATTGCAAAAGTTATAGCCTCGGTGTATCCAAGGCCGAAAGCGTAAAACTCACCGCATTTATCCTGGGCGGTTCTGACGTGAAGAGGAAACAAGATTCCTAGAGTAACGTGCCCGGCTGGTAGAATCGTTTTGAGTGGATAGAGGAAGCTGGCGAAGAGTGCATCAATAACCATAACAATAGGAAATGAAACTGGGACATTTTTTCCGCTTTAAGTCAGTTTACTTTTATGTGTATCAGATTAAGCTAGAAAAGAAAAGAAAACGAAAATCTTCATTAATACATATTGCTTAATAAGTTATTTTTTGTTCCTCTTTTGTTGTCATTAAAAACCTTTTAAGGTAGTTATTATAAGGTATGATCCTCTTTACTTTTATAATAATTGTGTTCAGATTATTAATGTATTTTGTTTCACTGATAGACAAACATCGATTTCTACCTTGAGACATCTTTGTAGCCAAAACGCTGCAAGAAATTCAGCAGTGTTGCGTATTTGATTTCTCAGGGACAAGTGAGGTTTGAAAAATGAACCCAAGCTATCAAGAATCAGGTTCAGTAGTCCAATATGCCTTTAGCAGATACTAAGGACACGGCCGCGCGTGTTAGCAAACAAAAGCGAAGAAATCTTTAGAATGTTGGGCGTTACCACCGTAGTTTATCTTGGATCTTTCGTGGAGGACAGGAATATTACTGCCTGTGGAGGGAAAATCTAATTAAAGCGCGTGTAGTTAATCAGATAAAATTATCGCTTTCCAATAAAATCCTTTGCTTTAACGAAGATGACGGTTTCAAGAAATATTACATTTTCATTGAAGGATGAATAGGAAACTAAAATCCTTTTTAGCACTTTCGGTATATTCATTTAGCGAAGGTGGCAAAGCTTGGCCGGAGGCATTAAAAACAAGTCCTGGCCACTTAGCCCGGAGTCCTGCGAAGATGAAACTTCCTTTTTGTTATGTAAACGACTTGTTCACCCAATTGCTTATTTGGTGCCAGTTCTGTCAGTTTTTCAAGATCTAAAAGGCGGAAAAGATCTCCGTTCCAATTGCGACATGATAAATTTAAAAGAGGGAGATGAATTTACATCCCTTGGATTTCTTATGGCAGTCGCTTACTCAGAGGGCATGTTGTGTCCCCGCAAACTCAGCCTATTCCCCATTTTAATGTACCCACCTGTGATCTACATGCTTCTTATAGTCTCTTATTAGTCTAATCAGCCTATCAGTCAAATCAAAGCCTTATTTACCTACGGTATCTCTTCCTTACAATGCTCTTCCGGAGAGCGATGCCCTAAATTACAATAAATAATAAACCAGGTAATATATATACTAATAAAATAAAAACATACGAATTGAGGAATTAATGAACAGCAAAAACAGGACTAAAAAGCCCTATCTAAAATCCAGCAGTCTGAGTCTGTTTTTAAAGGAAGCAACTGACGGCTGCGTTTTAATTTCATTGGCAAGGTGTGTTCCATAGCACTGCACCACTATAACAGAAACTATTCCTTGTAGCATTTGTCTCCGGTGTTCGAATAAAAATATTGTTTGAGCTACCTCTAAGGCTGTATGCATGCACTTGTGAGATAGGTTCAAACAAAGATTTTTGGCCTACTGGAACTAGTTTATTAATGGACTTATAAGCGCAGACCGCCAAATGCTTTTTGCGCCTTTGACCAAGAGTTTCCCAACCGAGGTCATTCAAGAAATCCGGCAATGGATCGATGTTCGTAGCCTAAATAATTTATAATTCTTGCAGCTCTATTTTGCAATTTCTGGAGTCTGTCAGACAGGCAGTTAGCTAAGCATCCCCACACCTCACTATAATGATCAAAATAATGCAATATAAGAGCCTCATACATCCTAACTAAAATCTGGCGGAAAACATAATCACGAACCTTCTCCATAAAGTTTAAGCTTTTCAAGTAAAATGTTATGGTCGACAGTATCAAAAGCTTTCCTTAGATAGAGAAAGAGTACACCGTTCAGCGAACCATTGTCGATATTTAAATACCAGTCATTTGTAGCTTCAAGTATAGCGGTAAGAGTTGAATACATCGGTCTAAAACCATGTTGAGAAACAGTGAGAGGACCATGCTACTTTAGATAATTATAAAGCTGAATGAATATAATCTTCTCAATTATTTTACTAACAATTGGCAGAACCGATATAGGCCTATAATTATTAGGATCTGACTTACTTTCGCAACTTTCCAGTCATCAGGAAATATACAGCTCCTGATAGATAAATTAATGATAAATGTTAAAGAAGCTGTGATAACTGGTGCAGCTTCTTTCAATTAGAGCTTGCATGATATTCCATCAAGGCCACTACCCTTGTTTAAATTGTTTTAATGACTGAATTATATTATACACATTTTTACTATTGATTTCATTAATGGCAAATATATCTTGAGTAGGGCTGATATACTCTCTAAAGCTGGTATCCATGGCAGGAAAGTCATTAGCTAGACGTGGCCCTACTTGTGTAAAATGATGATTTAAAACATTACTGATTTCACTTGAGGAAGAGTGAGTTACGTCCTCGATTTTAATGTTATTTATCTCTGTGTGATAGAGATTTTTTTCCTACGATCATGTTCACCCCCCTTCCAAGATTCCATAGTATTACCTAGAGTTTCTCTCAAGCAATTGTTATAACTAGGGGTATCTTCTGTCAAGTGCCAACGAGGCGAATTCGTTTATCTTTTGTGGAATGTGCCTGATAAATGGTTACATGATTTTAGAGGTTTAAAATGGATTCCGCTATAAAAAAAGATGGCACCCAACTTTGAAACAACAACTTTTTAACTGGCAAATCCTAGGCTTTCACGTTTATTAAACAATAGCAACATGGCTTGAAGCTTTGGTGGTAAATTGGAGCAAGTTAGCACTTATGTTGTATGGAAAGTTCCACTGTATCAAAACTATAAACGTTAGAAAGTAAAGTATTGGTCAACTGAGGCCTTTGACTGATGAAATTAAAAATAAAAATTAAATTCCGAGCTGTCGCCGATCTGACAGTATCATCAGGGATAAAGAAGAAAAATATTTCGCATGGTAATATACATATGAAAAAATTGGTGCAAAGCAAAATGTGTGAAAAGCGCAAGAATGGGGCGGAATGTATCAGAGGTATAAAAATAAGATCTTGAATGAAATACAAAGATCTAGTAAGCGAGTGTCACAGGACAGAGTCTCTCGAAAGGCATAATGATAATCTTCAAGACAAAATGTCTGTACATTTGTTGCATTCGTCACAGAAGTTTAGGAACGTCTCAATGTAAATCGAGCTGCAAAAGAACATGCTGGTTGACAAAAATCTCTCAAAAGGCATAAATAAATTCTTAAATCCAAAAGGTCCGCAAATGCGTTGCATTCCTCACGGGAGGTGAGGACTGGCTCAATTCCTTGATCAGCTACCGCTTAAAACTCGATTTACAAAGGAAAAGAGAACACTGAAAACCCTGGTTGTGTGTCGAGAAGCAAACTATCGAGCTGCGAACAAACTGGTTCTTACAAAAATTTGACAGTAAAAGCCTATTCCTTGATCAGGTGCTACTTTAAACGCAATTTATAAAGCAAACCAGAGTACTAATGGCCCTTTAAACTCTAGAAATCGTATTATAGCTTGCCCACCTGTTAGGTTCTCTTGAACAAACAACGAAGAGCTGCACACCGGATCACACAACTTCGGACCACGAGTTGTAAATACTAGACCATGACGTCACTGCCCAAATATGGGATCTTACTTACACCCAAATATGGTCAAAAATGCAAATTTAAGAGGGTTACGCAGAATTTGAGAGTTTTCGCCCACATTGCGCGGCAATATAGTTTCATGAGGTTTCAGTTTTCCCGTTGAAACACATCTGAAATGAAGAGACTCTCCGGCCATCGAGCTCAAAGTCTTCTGTTATATACCGTAACTGAAAATGGAGCTTTACATGCAAAACTTTAACAGCCCCCTTTGTGGGGTGGGGTGGGGGAAATCTTAAAGGTTACGGATCATTTAAGTTTTAAATTGATCGCCGTATTATAGCATGCGTCATGACTTTCTACGATCCACACGCGCACAATTTTCAGTTACGAGTCGTACGAATGACGTGGGTTCAAGTTACACGACACGGTCTGCCGTGAAGTCATGACGTGTGTATGGCAAGCCAAATGTAGCAATATTCAATTCGTTTAATTTTATATCTAGTTTTGTATTTTGTATTCAACTATGCGTTCAATATTCAACTTGTATTCAACATTCAACGCGTTATTCAATATTCAACTTCCATCAACATTCATCTATTCATTTTAGGGACGGACCATTAGAAAAGTTATGGGGGGAGTGGGAAATTTTTGAGCCGCAGGAATTTTTTTTCGTTATCAAATTACTTGTATGAATTTTTTTTAGGCCGTAGCATGAATATTTTTCAGGGTTAATTGGCCTGCATGAATTTTCTTTCATTTAATTTTCCTTGCGCGAATATTTTTTTGGTACTTCGCCCGCCTCCCCCCCTCCCGATAAGTTTTCTAATGGTCTGTCCCTTATATTCAATTCTTCATTCACCCATTCAATTATCTATTCAACAATTTCAACCATTCATTGAACATTCAACTTTAATTGTTAAAACATTCAACTATTCATTAGACTGCTTGCGTCCACTTTTTCTCTTAAAATCCGTTTAAATCTTGATCTCATCCCGCACGATTGCAAACCACGATGTTATTTTATAGGGATCGAGACGAGACGAGAAAAGACGGGCTGCTGTCTGTTTTGTAGTAAACAAACCCTCCGTCAGCCCAGAAACGGAGTAACCGATTGGTCAATTGCACAACTGTTGACAGATCATTGACTGATCTGTGGTGAGATTGCAAGCAATAACATATAAAAAAGTCACGCGTCACAAACAACTACAAACTATAGCGAGCCAAGCAGTAATCTCAGTTTAACAATAAAACTTAGCATATCCTACAGAAGGAAACTGCTGTAAATTTCCTCAAGGGAAACGAATTCAAGGCAATCTTACCGGATTTAAAGAAAGTGTAATATTTTCAGATGTTTATGTTCTATTTATAAATCGTTTCAAGCAATTCGGGTTTAGTTGATTAATTAAGTTACCTTGGCAGCTTCGTTGTCCCCAGACAGAACAAAAGAGTCAGCAGTCTTATTTTTTTTTCTTCTCGGGCTTACGCCATTGTTTCTCACGGCAAGCGGCGAACGTGCTTAGGTTTTGCGTGCAGTAATTGTGCAAAGAAAAATAAAGAGACTGCTCTCAGTATGGCAAGCCAAAGGTGGCAATATTCAATTCGCTTAATTTTGTATCTAGTTTTGTATTTTGTATTCAACTATGCGTTCAATATTCAACTTGTATTCAACATTCAACGCGTTATTCAATATTCAACTTCGATCAACATTCATCTATTCATTTTATATTTAATTCTTCATTCACCCAATTAATCAATTATCTATTCAACAATTTAAACCATTCATTCAACATTCAACTTTAATTTTTAAAACATTCAACTATTCATTAGACTGCTTGCAGTCCACCTTTTCTCTTAAAATCCGTCTAGTTCTTGATCTCATCCCGCGCGATTGCAAACCACGATGTTATTATATAGGGATCGAGACGAGACGAGACGAGAAAAGACGGACTGCTGACTCTTTTGTAGTAAACAAACCCTCCGTCAGCCCAGAAACGGAGTAACCGATTGGAACCGAACGAACAGAATGCCGTCCATGCTTCAAATTTAATTTTCAATAAAACTGTGACAAATCTGTTTGACTTCAATTTAGTTGGAAATCTTACAAAAGTGTTTAAATTTAAAGAAAACGCTAGTAAGGAATACTTTCTCGTAAAATGCGCTCAATTTAAATCTTATTTTCCCCCTTACTACTTCCTCTACGATTCATAACAGTTTTTTTAGAACAGGGAGCCCAAGTCGTCTGAAAATGTTTAAGAAATTATAGGTTGACTTTTCATATGTTAAGTAACAATTTCAATATAAACCTTCCATCACGCACAAATATCTGCATCAAAGAACTGTAATTTTGTCAGTCAACTTAGTTGACCCAACTCAACTTGGTGTTGGCTCTTATCCATCCGTAAATTAAGCTGCAGGCCATTGTAATCAATACTTTCGATCAGTCATTTTAACTTTGTGTTTGCATTTTAGGCGAATCTGTTGGCTTGTTAGACTGCTTCAGTAGAATGACGCTGAAAGTTATACTCTCCACCGCGTTTGGTGTCGAAACTGACATTCAAAACGACAAAGAAAGCCTGTTATTTAGAAACATGAAGGAGGGTTTTCGCACTCCTTGGATAATGGACTTTTTAAGACGGTTTCCTTTTTGGAATATATCTTTTAAGATTCTGGCACAAATCATGCGCACTTCAAGGTATTTTGAAAAGGTCGCCTCAGAGATCTTACAGCAAAGGAGAAAAACTGGGCCAAACAGGAAGACAAGATTTGATGCATTTGATGCTGACAGCGAACGAGGATTCAACTGAAAAGGGATTATCCAAACTCACCGATGAAGAAATAATTGGCCAGTGTCAGATCTTTCTTTTTTCGCAGGTTACGAAACTTCGAGCAATACTTTGGCCTATATCACCTACCAGCTGGCCCTGAACCAGAATGTACAGGACAAATTAAGAGAGGAGATCAAGGAAGGAGTCAAGAGAAACCCTGAAAGTTCTCTCTACGACCTTTCTCATGACATTGATTATCTGGATTGTGTTATGAATGAGTCACTGCGACTAAATCCACCTTTGGCTCAGGTTAACCGTGAATGTGTCAACGACTACAAGTTTAATGACATTTTTATCCCCGCAGGACCACAAGTCATCATTCCTGTGTATTTTCTAGATCGTGACCCTGATGTCTGGTCCAACCCAGAAAAATTTGATCCCGAGAGATTCCGAAGCCCCGCCAAAGACTGTCGTCACCCATACCAGTTCTTGCCATTCGGTTTAGGGCCAAATCCTGCATTGGGATGAGATTCGCTCTAATGGAGATCAAGATTGCTTTGGTGAAATTCTTGATGAAGTACTAGTTTGTACGTTCACCCGAGACACAGGTACTTTTGGAAATTCTTGCTGGTGTCACTCTGATCCCGAAATATGGAGTCCACGTGAGAATAGAAAGGGTTTAGAACTCTTTGCTTCGGCTCTCTTATTCTTTTTTGTGTTTGGTGTGGCTATCTCCGTTTGATTAGCTGCTACCATCGGTTTTCTAAACTTTGGGACCTGATGTTGGTAGCTGATATACTCGAACCAGGAAAAACATTTTTTAAACTAGGATTAAAGAGTAACACCACCTGTTTGCGAGAAAAAGAAGAAAATGGTTTGTTGTCATCAAAATGTAAAAAACTAAAGTACTATTAAGTATAAATTTGAGACGAATAATCAGATGAATTAAGTTATGAACGTTTCAATAAATTTCGTTATGTATTTCTAAAGTAGACTAAGCTCGTGGTAACAATAATGCCAATTGCGCATCCTTATTGCTTTTAATGGAACTTTATAAATTACCATTGTAAATGGTAAATTAAAATGACAACATCGTGTCAGACAAATATGTCTCTCAAGTACTATTTCAAAAGTTAACAAAAAATCAAAAATTGAACTTTTACGTTAACGAGTTTTCAAAAAGCGTAAGCAAAAGTTTGTCCATCCATGCTTCCTTTTGTATTTGCTGTGGTAGTTATCCCTTCTGTTCGTGTTTTGATCGGTTATTTTTATGTTTCACTCAGTTTTGTGGTGGTTCTTTAACGGTTTGAAATGTCATTTAACACTGATATTCCACAATTTGGGTTCCAGAAATTTAAAAGAGTTTTTCCCATGAGAAGTAGCATTTTCAACCTCGAAGTAACTGCAACTTGTTGGTGCCTCTCAGTATAAAGTGGAGTAACGCAATTTTTGTAGTTCTGATCTGTTAACTGTCTAGTTTGCGATGTGCTGTCGAGCTAAGTGTAATTATTTTAAATCCCGTTTGTAGGATGAACATCAACTTGTTGGATTGTTGCTGAAAACGTAGCACTATTTGTGAACTGCCTAATTTCAGCTTTCATAAACTCGTTTGTGTTTTGCTCTGGACGAAGCAGGATGACAAATAGTTTTGGCGCGAAAACGCACAAAAGAATTCCATAAGCGGTGACGAGGGCAGTGGCACAGGCCACAATGGTTGTGTAAAAACCTTCCAGGGACGTGTCCACCGGGTAAAATGACACCCAGGAAATCAGGAGCACGTACATCGCCGACCCAATGTATCTCGTTTCGTTGAAGTTTTCTGGAAGTCGCCTGGCTTTAAAGGCGTAACCAGCGCATACTAGAGACAGCAAAATGAAATAGCTAAACATGGTTGCCCTAAGGACACTTCCGATAGCTGATCTGAATGGCATACAGGTGTAAAACACATGTGTCTGTACTCGTATCTCCTGGTGCTCGTAAGGTGGATCAAGAGTTAGCCACAACACTGCCAGAATAACTTCAACTATGTTGAGTCCCAAGACCACAAGAAATTGACGTTTGCGATCCACGATGTATCGCTTGAACCAATTTGGAATGATGTTGGTCTGAAAAGCGCGGATCAAACGGTTTGTCTTCAAGAAGAGGATGGAAACAAAGGTCGTATTAATAAAGTACCTCAGAGGATAAATAATACAACATAACGTCTTTGTGGGCTGAGCAAGATAGAGCAAGGTGAGAACAAAACACAAAGGCGATTGCGACAAGCAAAAGAAGGCTAAGTTCGCGATTGGATACCCTCACCAATGGTGTACTCTGGTTCTTCATAAAAACAAAGATGGCCATGCCTGTTGCAAGCAATCCAATAACCGTTAGGATCAAAAATACCACTGCAGTAGCATCTGACCACTTGATGTTGATAACTGGCAAAGGCAGGCATGCTGTACCGTCCCCGTTTGATTTATGTAGTTGTGGGCACTTTGTACAGTTGGGAGAACTATGCTGTTTACTGATGGAGCCCAAAGGACACTTAATGCATTCCCAGCAACAGGACACAGTGATCGTCTGCCTGGTTCCCGGAGGACAACGGTGACTGCACGTGGATATGGGAGGCTCATTTTCTTCATTAGCCCATTGTATTCGTTTGTCGTTGATTGTGAGGTTGGTACGAGTTCCCCCTGTCCATGTCCCCACCTTAACATTTTCATAATTCTCCGCCTGTTTCTGAAAGTTCACGATATCGTACGACGAAAAGTGGGATCACCACTTTCGGTGAACTGCACTTGCCCTGTTATGCCTTGAAAGCTCACTTTCCTGAGTTTCAGAAGCATGGCTTCGGGTGTGACTTTGGCATTTTGCTCAGGACAGTACCCACTGGCTTGGTCCGCCTCCGGGCTTTTACACTTCAGTAAAGAGTCCAGCGCGTGTGCAAGGGCATAGACGGCGTCTGTCAGGTAAGGAATGAACGCGTTGTGTAGTTTGGCGAAGGCTCGATCGTCTATTTTGGCCGGGTTAAGGCAAGCACCTTCAGACATTGAGGAGCAGTTTAGATGGCTTGTCCAAAACTCCTTCCACCACGGATTGGCGCTTTCTCGGGTCTTATTTAGTGTGATTCCCTTAAGATAATCCTCAAACAGATGGTCTGTGAAGAGATAAGGCCTTATTCCTATTGCTCCTTTTAGTATGACAGCATTTTTTTCCAAAACGTCTGGATTCATGGCAGCTATTGCTTCACTAATAAGAAATGTTCGTCCTTCAAGCCCTTGCGCAGTCGCTTCTTCCAGAAATCTTTTTGCAGGTTCATAGTTGCTCCATAAGACGACCACTTTGATGTTTTCAGCATCTTTGAGTTTTCTCACGATTGATGTTATTTTTCCTTTGTATCCCGAAGGCGTGATGTACTCCGAAAACGCGATGCAGAATGTCTTTCGGTCGTAAGCTTCTCGTTCCAACGCACGGAGACCGTATCGACCGTAGGAATGGTCAACGGCTACGGTTGCAATATACTTCCATTGATAATACTCTATTATGTCAACCATGGCTTTAGCTTGTTGGCCATCGGGTGGAATGGTGCGAAAAAAGGAGTTGAAATACGGTGAGCTCAACTCTTCGCTGGTAGCGGAAGGACTTATAGTTGGAATGGCAGCCACATTCAGTAAACTTGAGACGAGAGTGCTGCTACTCGAATCGCTAGTGCCAATAACCGCAGAAATCGGAGCCGTTAGATTATCCATATTTATTGTAAGCTTTGACTTACAGTTATCACTTTGTCCTTCCAGTAGTTCGTTCAGATAATTACTTTTCACAAAGTCATTGGCTTTTTTCATGGCGAGAACAGGTGTGCGGCAGTAGTCTCGAATGTCGAAGCCCAGTGTCACATTTGGTAGAAGCTCAGGATCCTTGTTAATACGCTCGATTGCAAAAGTTATAGCCTCGGTGTATCCAAGGCCGAAAGCGTAAAACTCACCGCATTTATCCTGGGCGGTCCTGACGTGAAGAGGAAGCAAGACTCCTAGAGTAACGTTGCCCGACTGGTAGAATCGTTTTGGATCGATAGAGGAAGCTGGCGAAGAGTGCATCAATAACCATAACAATAGGAAATGAAACTGAGACATTTTTTTCCGCTTTAAGTCAGTTTACTTTTATGTGCATCAGATTAAGCTAGAAAAAAAAAAAGAAAACGAAAATATTCATTAATATATATGCCCTTAATAAGTTATTTTTGTTCCTCAGTTGGCGTCATTAAAAAGGATCATACCTTATAATAATAGGGTTCAGTTAAAGGGTCAATCTCATGAACTGCCCATGTGCTGGCCGAAGCTCAAAACTTGAAAAATTCTGCAGAATATGTCAAGATTGACCCGGCTAAAGAAAGATGGCTGCTGCAAGTGGCAGAGGCGGCCATGGCGGTAAACGAATGATCTCGGGTCACAAGAAAAAACGATTTCTGACCTGAAACCGTGCAAAATAGAGTGGTTTAAAAACCTTTAACGTCCTTTCCTCGAAAATAATATATTTCAGTCGTGGCTTAGAGTGAAATTCGGGGCAGGGTGTGAATGTTCTAGTGACAGCGATTTGGCGGCACGTTCGTTATCTCTTGAATATAGGAGAAGGTAAGTCTTGCTTTTCTTTGCCTGATGATTTAACCGTTAAAGATTATTTTTGTCGATGAGTCCTATTTATGATCATATTTATGACACTTGCACGAAGACAGGCAAAAGACGAAATTGAAGCCAAGGTGCAACGATGCTTATTATGTTTCGGTGATATGTTTCGTGTTGGTTAGCATTTGTTTTTTTTTTTCGTTTCAATGTTGATTATCGATAAACACTTATTTTCCTTAAAGGCCCGCAGACGCAGATTACAGGGGACCTGTGAAATAAGAGGTTTAGAACGGTGCAGGCCTTCTGCCACAGACCTCAACTTAGCCTGCGAACGCCAGACGTTTCTCCTCGTTCATCGCCTCGGAGGGACGTTTCGCGAGGAGGAACGTCTGCGACTCAGCGACAGAAATTCCATACCGATGACGTGAATCAATGTTTACATAATAAATCCGGTAGTCATGGGGTTCCAAATGCAAATTTGTTTAATTTTACGTTTTTCCTGTTCGATTTTGGTAAAGTGTTGTGTTCATCTGCGAAAGAGCTCCGGAAAAACTCAAATGCTTCTTCTGGAGAAGACTATATTCCGCAAATATTGACTGTTTTGTTAGAGATTCAATGCCTTTACATTTGACCTTTGCGGCCTTTTGTCTTTTGTCTGTCATTCGTAAACAATAGCTAAAACCGTGAAACTACTCCGTCGACAAATTAGCGCTTCTGACCGGATTCCGGACAGATTTTGCGTCATCAGCATGGAATTTCTGTCGCTGAGTCGCAGACGTCCCTCCTCTTGAGGAGAAACATCTGCCGTTCGCAGGCTAACCTCAACTCCAGTTAAACCTTTTGGTCAGCCCTCGCCTTCTGTTGTCGATTCTCCGGCCATTATTGCTGATAGTTTGCTTAGCACTTCTGAGCTTTGGAGTAAGTCTCCCATTCGAGATCTCGGTGGCGTAGATGGCGAGAGCAATAAATCAGCAATGTAAGTTGCATTTACGTATACGTGCATTGGTTACAATATGAATTATAAAGGTATCTCACTTACAGTTTGTTGTCTTTATTTACATATCACGGGCAACAATCCCATCTGATTTCTTTGTTTTTTTTTCGGTTATAGTTTGAACTCGTCTTTATTTTCTGACGATGAGAATATGTGGTCTGATTCAGAAGAGTCTACCTCTGAATACTTGACAGTATATATGTTGTAATTATATTTTTATCCCAGATAATTTTTGTTTTCTCTTATTAGTTTTTGAGTATGGTAATGTGTGCGAATGAAGTTTAAACAAAAGAAAAATAAAAATTACCTGAGATAATAAATTAACAACAACATAAATATATCTATAGGAATTCGATCGTATATTGCATAAACATAACAGTCTATATATTATTGCATTTGAGTTTATTACCGCATGTCAGGTTTTTACAAGTAATCTCTTCCTGCTAACAAACACTTTGTTCCCAGGGTGATCTCTAAACCGGGCATAAAAAGGTCCATTGGTGGAGTACATTGAATAGTAACATGTTATACTACAGTTGACCATGATGTTTTGGTGCCTTTTTTCAGTAATCAAGCACTTTATAATTCTGCCATCCTTGAATAAAGACGGATGTATTGACACTGACAGTGACACTGATTTTTATGTAAAAAAAATTCAATTGCCCCACAGACTGGGTAAGAAAAATTAGCTTCTGCTACTATCAGGGTGGTTCCTAAAGCATTGCACAATAATATTTGGCGCAGACATGCACTGGTGAAATGCCAATGCATAAAAGTGTTCACCCCCCCCCCCCAGCCGACCCTGCCTTTCTTCATATGCCTGGGTCAAGAGATCCACTTCTCATGGAAAAACTAGGTTCTGCTAACAAAATACGACATAGTGAGCTTACATGTGATTTGCTGGGAGAAATGAACAATTTTCTTTTTCCCTCAATTTTTTTTTATACTTTCTAACTGCTGTTTATCTCAACAGGCACACAGGAAGTATTGATTGTGCTAATAGCCTATCCTGGCTGTATGCATCAAAGAGGATATCTTTCAGGTAATTGCTCGCTGACTGTACTGGTGATGAAGATGTTAATGATCATCATTATCATTGGCTGATTCTCTATTGAACTGAAGTGTTTTATTGTGGCCTTTATTATCGGTTTAGTAGCATTTTCTCAAGTTGTGAAAATATTTTCTCACTCTCAAACTTGAATATTTTACAGTTACAGGGCCTACAGAGTAAGAAGATGCCTTGAAGTGATTGACTAGAACTACCACCTTCACCTCCCCCTGCCACAACGCCCCCCCAAAAACAGGAGAACAGATGTTCAGCTGAAAGTACTACCAGCGGACAAAGCAATGGGACATAAAGATCATAAAAGCAGACAAGGGATATGAATATATTCCCTCCTCATTGCTAACATATTACATGCCAGATTACATGATGTGGATATCGTGACAAGAAATATCTCTCTAAATGCAAGTGATCCCCGTCACTGTTGGCCCCAATCCATTGCGGTCATACCACCACCTCCCACTGCAGAATTGCGTAAGTGGCAGAGTCGGTTCAGTTTACCTGCACCGTCAAAAAGCTGTGAACCAGAAAAAGGTGATCTTTAGAAAAATCCATCACCCATGGAAGACTGAGTTGTCATATTTTGAGATGCATAGAACAGAGTCCAGTCAGAGTGTTATCAGACTAAGATTTATCACTTTCTTTAATTTTTATACATTTGCATTAATTGATAATTTACAGTAAAATCTTATGAGAATCAAGACATCAAGAAGTAAGAAATACCGATATTCTTCGAAGAGAAATTTTTGTGCAGCATAAGGAATTGTAAATAATGAAACACGTGTCTTGTAATGACATATTAATATTAATTGCCCCCTCAGGGATTTCGCCCAGAAGGCGAAATCCCAAGGAGGCACTCTAGTAACTCGCGCGTATATTAAGGAAAGTACTTACAGATGAATTATACAGTCAGCATGCCAGAAAAAATCTCGATTTGCTTGAACAGGGGCCGCGAGGAATCGGTAGGTAATGATGACGTTTGTATTGTTTCCGCCCGCAAGTACGAAATGGTTAGGATGAAGTAAAGACAGAAAATCCCGAAGGGAGCGCCGCAGGTAGATTTTGTGACATTTTTTGTGCAGTCATACTTCGATACTCGTTTGCGTTATGTGTTATCAGTGACATTCTGTGGAGCAGTTGTTTTGAAAGTTATGGACCAAAAGACACTCGTTAAGCGCAGATGAAGTTATAAGGTGCGCATAACTGTGTATATATAAACTCTTGGAGAGTTTGCCAGACACGAGTTCACAAATCTCTGATTGGAAACCTTGCCAGACACTCTTTCTCCCTCTTTGACCGGTATAAGACTCAGCCCCAAACAAGCAAGACGAGTGAACAACGGCTAGCTTATTACTAGCAGAACGATGGACGATTACAGAAATTTGCCAACAATCAAATTCTGTGCTGACTTATTCCCTGCTCACAGATGTCCTTCCGCTATAAAGTTTAAAATAAGACTAGAATGCGCGAGCGTGAATTGATCAAACGTCTTTTTAATTTCTAACGCTTACTTTCCGGCAATTAAAATGAACTGAATGTAAAAAGTGAAAGAGAAATAGCGAAAAATTCAACTTCTAATTAAATCTTTTCTTATGGTTTAGAATAAACTATTCTCGAAGCTGAGAATGTTTTGATCAAAGCTGTGTAAATCGAACTGACACTGTGCATGGAAACTTGCGTTTCCTGTATTTATCTCACCTATTGTACGGAATATGTGTAAAATCTTCATTATGAATCGGTATGTTTCAAAGAGCTACACAACGAGCAAGAATACTATTGACCGACAATGTATTGTTGGTTTTCACATGCCATCACTAAAATTCAAACTACAAAACTATCCATCCTACTGAGATTTTACTTTCATGGTGTATTAGAGCAGCTGAAAACTAATTTTCAAACAAATTTTCGCTTCAAAAGGTTTCTTGGTTTTGTAACAGAGTACGCTTGAATTTCTAAGCTTTTGCGTGACGCAGCATTTACATGACGGCCGAGAAAGCTGTCATTTAGGTTAAAAAAGTGACTTTTTTCGAGGCATTTTGCCATCTAAACACTTCAAGTATTAGAAAAAGTATTACTTTAATGTTTACGAGTTCCTCTAGGAGTAAATTCACGCTTTTGTAGCAAAAGTCGGTAACAGATGTTTCTGCTGGTTTCCGTCCGCCATGTTGGAGCTCATCCGGATGAGCTCCGGCATGGCGCCTCCATACAAAGCTCTATAAATTTGGGTAAAACATTTCCTCGGATATCTCGTAGACGAATTATTCCTTCGACCCAAATCTTGGCGAGGGTCTTTGTATATTTACCTCCTTTCATTCCCCAGATTCTGGACTTTATCTATCGAATGGTTTTGACTTTTATTTTGATCTATTTTGAAGGGCGTGACACTGAAAACCAGCAATAGAGCAGGGGCAGCTGTAGTGTCAACTATTACTAGTATTATAGTAAGATGTCAAT